TCAGCTGATTTTATGCCAGAAGCACATTTAGCAGCATGCACATAAGGTCGATTAACAGCGCTAAGGCCCTCCTCCTGACTCTGATTAGTTGTTTCTGACAGGCTCTGATATAATGTTATTTATCTTCTACAGGGTATGCAAACTTCTGGTCTCAGCTTTATGTTACATTAAAAGTAAAAAAGTAAAAATAAAAGTTTTTAAAAGACCTATATTGGTTTCAGCACAGCATTTCGTTTCCATAAATCTAGTGTTGACATGTTTTCTTTTCAGATTAGCATGTAGCCTTAAGATACTAGAATGAGGATCACTCAGTCTGAATTCGTTTCTGTCCAGCCAACACTCCTTGCATTTCCTCTTAGAAGAACCACTTCAAGCAACATTGATTTACAAAGGGTTTTGACTTTCAAGTCTTAATTAATAACATTTATTTCACCTTCTTTGCTTCAAAATGGGTTTTTGTCTATTTTGCCAAACCACTTTGACATCTCAAGAAGAAGAGTTTGTGGACCCGAGGAGATGAGACAGGAAATCATGTGGACCATCCAGTGTACTATTGTGATATCCTAAAAATTAGATGTCGTATAAGAACATATTCATATTCTGGCACTCATAGTCTTTGGATGGTCAAAGCCTCTCTTCTTCTACTGTTTGTGTTTGTTCGGTGCCCTCGTCTTTATTTTCCAGCCTTTCTGCTTCTTTAGACGTGCCAGCCTGCAGCAGGTGGCGCCGACCCAACATGTCAGAACAGTTCAGACAATTATTGCTCAAATTTACAAATGAGAGCAAATCATTCCCCTTAAACTGCGCTTTCTGCCGAGCGCAGCCTGACGAGGCCCTGCGGAATATCCCATCCCAGCATATGTTTAATTGTTTACCCCTGCTTGTTTACATGAATAGAAAAAAATTAAAAAAATGCTGCTCTGCTCTGGGGGGCCTGGGGGGGATAGAGGAGGGTTTCAGAGTTAGAACTCAACATGACAGAGCTGGAGAATTAATAACAATTTGTGGCAAATAATTACTTATCAATTAAAGCTGTTATCCTGCCTAATTAGGCAACGTTCATTAAATTCAGCCAATTTAAACCTTAATCAAAGTTAGCAGGGCCTGACAGCAGGAGGCAGTGTCAGGGGAGGAGCGCCACCAAGTGGAGGAGAGTGGAAGAAAGCGACTTTTCCACATTTATTAAATACCAGAGGGTCGCCTTTCCTTCATAGCTTATTATTATTATTAATGTTATCAGAAGCAGTTAAAAAAAAAGTAAAACTGTAATATACATTTTGATTTCAAATAAGCAGAAATCCAATAAATTGAAAGTGTGAGAAATAATGTTTGTGAATGTGAAGAGGCTTCAGATTGACCTGTTGATTATTGCTGCAGAAATTGAATTTGAAAGTCACCAGTGTGCATAAAAAATAATAACAACAAAAAAATTAAAAAATTATGTGCACCAAGAAAAGTAAAGTTGCCTTTTAAAAACAGCATTAACAAACAACAAACAAAAAAACCCTCCAGTTTCCAAGTAGTCAGTATAAAAATCTTTGAGAAGAAGACATAATCATCATGATCTGTGGTCGTTTCCATTTAAACAATAGTTTCAAAGTTTAGATATGACCTCATATTTCTTTTTGTGCAATTGAATATGTTTTTTTTGGTGAAGCCAGCACACAGGAGTATATAATATGTGGAAGGAAAGTTGGAAGATTTTATTATTATTATTATTATTATTATTATTATTATTATTATTATTATTATTATTATTATTATTATTATTATTATTATTATTATTATTATTATTATTTGTTACAAATAAAAATCTTAAAAGTGTGGTGTACAATTCTAATCAGGCCCCTCAAACTGACATGAAACTGACATTTTTTGTTCATATTTCTTTTTCAAACGGCTTAAACTCACTCAGACCGATCGGAGGGCATCCACCAAGATCACGTTCCAAATCTTTTCCACAATTTGATCAAACAGAACGGCCGAGTTAATTGATTAAATTTGAACCCAGGCCATGGATCTGGAATTTTAGCATTTGTTAGGGAATAAGAAATCTATTCTTATTTAATGGTTTCAACATGGATCAATTAAAAGATTTTTATTTAACATGTAACGTTCATATTTGAAAGAGTTGGCAAGTTGGCTCCGTCAAAGTCCAAAGAAAAACCTCCGTAGTTTGATTGTTGTGTCACCATAGCGACACTGCCTTTGTGTTTGAGCTCAGTTTGTTCACATCTTGGTAAATAACCAATTATCAGTGATTGATTTCAGGTTCTGCCGCCTGTCCTCCAAATCTGTGTTGAAACTCTGTCAATGACGGTGAAGCAGGAAAAGGAGGTGGGAGGGTGGGGGACTAAATCATATTCTGCCCAAGGCCCACAAAAAAATCTTCTGCCGGCCCTGCTGAGAAGTGAAACGTTTGGATTTTATCTGACCAGAACCTGCAGTCTGGTGATAAAATGTGAAAATGCTTAAGGGAATTCGAAGAGCTGGGAAAAACAGAGTAACAACCTACATTTGCAATAGTTTCGAAACAAACTCCTTGTCGGGTTGAAGTCTCAATTATATCTAAAGTCATAAACAAGGAAGTGAAGTTGAAGTATTTTGGCCCAAAGTTTGCTGTGCGAGATTGAAAATGCAAAACATTGTTAGTAAAATTCTGAGAACTAAAACATTCTAAACATAATGATGATGATCACGAGTCTTTTTTTTTTTGGCCCTAAAAGCATCGCTTGCAGCACCACAGCGCCTCCTCCCAGCCTGGCTCGCCCTCTGACCCGCCCTGCCTCCGTTTTAAAGCCCCTCACTTCCACCAGCGCGGCGGCCGCTCCACAACAAAGCGTGCGCTCTGCAGGGCGAGAGGCGCTGAGGATGGAGTTAATTAATATTGGCTCTAGTTTGGTCTAGTTAATGAATGAGTAAATTATGCACCTCTGGGACACCGCCTCCCTGATCGGCATAAATTACCCTCCACAGCCCCCTCAAGCGCCACTCTTCCAACATTGTCCTCCAATTTTCCTGCTCTGATCCTGCGCTGATGGGGTCCCTGTCACCAACCAGACCGCCACACACACACACACACATGGACCCCACGGTCCCTGCTGTCTCCATCTGTCTGCCTTTGTCCTGCCCTGGTGTGTTTAGTTCATTGTGCCGTGCAAATTTATTGACGCCTTCTCTTTCGTTTTTTAATTCAACACTTCTGCTCGGCCTCGCGTCTTCAAGCTTAGGGAGGCAAATAGCTTCCATCCCATTAACTCGTTTGAGAGGGAAGGCCAGTCAAACAATCTGACCCACACACACACACACACACTCACACACACACACACACACACACACACACACACACACACACACACACACACACACACACACACCACACACACACACACACACACACACGCACGCCAACACGCAAACTCGGATCAACACACTCTGTCCTGTTGGTGAGCGGCTGGGGGGAAAAAAAGAGATCCATATTATTTGCATTAAAAGCTTCACACCGTGAAATTCATTTATAATTACAAAGTGGGGAAGCGTGTGTGTTATGCAGATCAGAGGCACGTGTGTGCGAGTGTGCGCGCGCGTGTATGCGTGCGTGTGTGTGTGTGTGTGTGCATGGAATTAGGTTTGGACCGGTTATTTTGTGATCCCCTAACACCGAATGTGTGGTGACAGATTGCAATTATCCCGTCATTGTTATTGTCAAAATCAATTCACTGCAGGCCGGAAAAGTCAGGAAGTTGCTGGTTTGATATTTATTTGAAACTAAATAAATAATGAAGTCCGAGTTTGTTTGCAAACATAAACAATAGACACAGATCAAGTTATGTGACAAGTTTTATTATTATTATTATTATTATTATTATTATTATTATTATTATTATTATTATTATTATTATTGCATTCAATTGTTACAGCAGTCAATAAAATAAAGAGACCATCAGGATATTATTGAATATTTCATTAATGTCACTGACATAATATCGTTATAATTTTCTGCTAACAGCTAATGAGTGCATTTAAGATCAGAATATTACATCAGACTGATACAAATACAAGTTAAAAACAAAAACAAACAGTGGAAATGAGAGCTCAATTAAAACATGTTAAATACCTGCTTGAAGGTCGTTATTTTCAAAAGGTTATTTTAACCATAAAATATAGACTCGCGCATAGTCGAATTTATTGAGTATGACTTTAATGTTTGCGCAATGAAAACCTCAATGAAAACACAGATCATCATGTTCAAAAGGTAAACTGAAGAGGAAAAACTGTCAGTTCTGCTGCATCAGTGTTGAGGTCAACAATGGAAATGAGAATTTGACAACGATTCGTGAATGTGGAGCTAAATTAGGGACATAAAGTTTGTTCAAAAGAAAAAGAAATTGAAACTGAAAAAAGGATGAGGGTAGTTTTTAAATACATCTGATGAGTTGTGTGTGGAAGTTTATTTCTGAGATTTTTGTTTTGTTTTGTTTTAAATCTGAAATAAATAGTATTTGTGGATTGATGTTCCATAAAACCCCAGCAGTTTATTTGTCGGAAAAATAAATGGACGGAAAATCTCTGCCATCACTCAGCTGCACTTGCTCTGAAAGATCTGTAGCACCCCCTTGTGGTTGTTAATGTGTATTGACCTCGGTCATTAAAATTTCAACTGTGAAACAGGAGATATTGTTTTCTTCGAGTATCAGATGCATCTGATAAAATCGACTACTGTAAAAAAAAACTTTCTTTGTGACTTAGATAAAAAAAAATAAGACATTGCCTAGATTCCATATAATGATTTGAAGTGTTTATTCCAGCTACATGATTGTATAGATTGAAAAAGAAACATTGTGCGAGACGCATTTTGACTTTCTTAATCAATGTTAAAATATATATCCAATTTAACATGCATTTTCTCTTCCTTACTCTGGCATATCGCAGCAGCATCATTGACTCGAGGTGAGGCTGAGCGCGTGCCCAGAAGCAGACGCGCACACCTGCTTCCGCTTGGTGTTAATTGGACCCTTTCAGGCGGAAGACCGTTCAAATTGAAACACACTCCGCCGTCGGCGCGTCTCAGACAATGGCCGAGTCTCGGAGAGTCCCGCTCACCACTCTGAGCTGTGGCGTCGGCTCATTTGGTTCTGAAGCCCGGGGTTCCGTCCAGCGGGGTTCTCCCGTCGTTCCGCAGGACGCCGGATCCGGCGCGGCCCCGCCATCTGTCCCCGAGACAGTTCGGCTGGTCCTCATTTTGTTTGAGCCCGGCAAGAGGAGCTTTCCGGAGTTTAACTACAGTGAGCTGATTGAGAACGAGGTGGGCTCACTTCCTGTTTTAGCCTCGAGGTGTGTTCCTAATTAACTGTGTCTAAATTAATCTCTGTTGTGCTGAATTGGACCGCGTTCCTGACGTTTGGAAGGAACAAGGTCGTCTTCGACTCGCACGTTCTTATGTAAATTCACCATAGTAACCAAACGAAATAGTTTCTTTTAGCATCTGAGTCCATTGCTTGACGTCAGCCTGCGCGTGACCCGGGAAAAACTGATGACGATCTGGTGTGGGAGAATTGGAATAGGCTATATCATTTTTTTTTTTTTTTTATTCTCAGGGGGAAATTGCTTATTTATTGACAAGCTACTCCATCCAAAGTGTTAAATATGATTAACGAAGCAATATAAAAATTAATATTTTAAATTCTGTGTATTAAGTGTGATATTGTAAGCAAATTATGACCCAAATATTTAATGTTTCTAAACTTGTATTTTTAAGAAAAGGTAAATGCAAGTGCTGCTGTTGTAAATTATGAAAAGAAGGGGATTACACGGCCTGTTGCATGTATGGAGGGCAAACCATGCCCAGGCTCAAAAATATAAACACTTTGTGTTAAGAATATGACTTTTTTATTAAGCTGCCATTGCAAACTCCACATTCTTCAAATTTACCAACAATGTAGTCAAACATTGTTGGTAAATGATATTTTATGAAAATCCCATATTTAATGCTATAATTAATGCGTGAAATACTATTTGAGTCCCACAAACACTGCACTATTATAAAGCTATTTTAGTTGAGGCAATTTTATTTATTTTACACTTTCAGCGGCAAGGCAATTCGATGTGCTTTACATGAACTGGCGAGAAATGCAATGAAAACAGAAAACCAAAGGAAAAGGCAAAAAGAAGAAAAAGTATGAAACTGTTAGTTCCCCATATTTAAGAATAAGTAGTTTGTAATTTATGAACAATAAAGTCAAATATAGCCTCTTTCAACAACACAGCTTATTTCAGCTTGGCCTATTACAATCACATATAGGCCTATCTGAATTTGAATTATCTGATTGCTTCAGTTGGCAAATAGTAAAATTTCAAAGTATTTAACTTACTAAAACTGAAGAGCCTTAAGTTTTAGTAAACATTCAAAAACCTCTCTGTAGCATTTAACCAAATTTTGTTCTGCAATATTCTTGACAGTCGAACCAATTTACTAGAACAAAGATAAGGGCTCCAGATAACCTTCAGAGGGCTGACTATTTTATGAAATGATTGTCCATCACTGTTTAATGTTGAAAAGCTGCAAATGTGAGATTTAGCTCAGTGTAGCTGAATACAGACTGCTTTTACTCTTTTGTTTTGGCGTTCTGATTAATGTCCGTTACAGCAAACGAATGACGTCCCACTGAGCCGACTGGAGCTGGAAGAACAACGAGAACATGAAGAAGCTGCTACAGCAAAGTCAGAAGAAAAATATGTGAGTATTTATGACTGACTCTGTTTTTTTATTATTATTGTAAAACCGAGCTGCTTCTGATTTGGGCGTTTCAGGAAGCCAAACATAAGAATAAAGATCGCATTGAGGATCTGCTTGACATTGGATATGGATATGATGATGAGGATTCTTTCATTGACAACTCGGAGGCAGTGAGTCCGTTTTCACTATAGTTTTTTGCATTTCTGTCACCCTGAATCCAGATTAGCCCAATTTGAGGGAAGTCTGGTACATTTAAGTTGAAGCTTTTTAATAGAATTGAGGCATTCTACTAATAACTCTAATCCAAAGAAGGGGCATAAAACTGTCACTGAGGATCTTTGTTATGACTTCAGTTCCTCACCTAATTAATTTTCCTCATTGTGCACATAAAAACAAACTTAAAAGGCATTTCCTTTCTGATTCCGGCCCAGTACGACGAGTTTGTGCCGTCCACCCTTACCACTAAATTTGGTGGATTCTACGTGAATTCAGGCATTCTGCATTTTCGTCAGGCCACTGGCACAGACGACTCAACAGACGAGGGAATATTTCAACCATCTAAAGTATGTGATGTACGTGGTAGCTATAATGTTCTTTCTGGGGTTTTTTAATTGCAGTTTTCCAAGTTCCAGTTTGTATAAAGTCTGATGGAGATTCTAGTTCTTAAAAAAATGTTCTTTAATAAACAAGCACTTGCATTAGGGTGCAGATGTGGTCACTATTTAGTTTTTGCTTTTGGAAAAAAAGGTTGTGGTGACTTTAACATGAAGACAAAAACACTGCAGAAAATTACCAGATTTTAAGCTGATTTTATTTTATTTTTTTCCATCTTGTATAGCACTTCTCATGTCAACAATTACCTACATTTAACTATTTTAATGCGTGTTCCTGAAAGAATGTCGATGCTTAGCTTGACAACAAGATTTCCAACTTCAGCTTAGAAAAAGTGTGTTCTGTTAAAGTGTTATGTGATTTCCAGGCAACACTCTTGGAATGGTTTTTGATGAAGGAAATAACTTCACAACATGATGTAAAGCTGTTATTTTATGTAATACTTATCCTCTAAAATACAGAAACTTCCTGTTGTCAGCTGGAAGTCTGGTACTCAGTTTTTTTTTTGGTACTAAGTGTCTCATCCAACAGGTCTTAGGTCTGTTTCTCTTGTGTCACTGCTCTGGCTTTATTTTTATGCATTAAAAGGAGACATGTTGGTGTGAACTAGTAGCCTTTAGGAATGATGTTAGATTTTTTTGTTCAGTTGTGAATCATTCAGCCACTGGGGACAGTCGGCCTCAAAATTCCAACATCACTGTCGAGTCTTGAATGCTGGGGAAAAATGGAAAATTTGGTGCAATTTTGTGCAAAATTTTTTATCCAAACTGTATTCACCATCTTGCAATTTGAGCTTGTTGTGTCTGTATATATATATATTTTAATGCTGATATCAGAAACGTAAAGTTGATGGTGAGCAGAATCCAAAGAAACGGGGTAAAGCACTCGGTGTGATGAAGACAAACACAAATTTAAGGTATGCTGTACCAGAGTCAATAAACTCCTGTCTGAGATTTGAAAGCGTTTGACCTTTTACTCATGGCTGTCTGTTTTGTAGCACTATGTCCAAACTGGGGGTGGATGAAGGAAAACTGAAAAAGAAAAAGCCCAAGACGTTGAGCGTCACCAGCATGCTGAAGAAGTTTCAGCGAGAGAAGGAAAGGGAGCGGCAAAAACGGGGGAAGGCACGCCAGACGACAGCTGCTGTAACAGAACCAGCGATTGTGTCCTCCATGTCCCCAGCAGATGAAGCTGGAGCAGGCAGCTCCGGTCTAACGGACCCTCTCCTCAGTTTGATCGGCTGCACCAACGATCACGCTCTGATCCAAGCGGCCAGCACTGTGGATTTTGACATAGATTTGGACTCCTTGTTAGAGGTTAGCGAAGAGTCTCTGTCGCCAAAATCTCTTCCCCAAACAGCTGCTGAAGCACAACTTAACGTCAAATCAGATGATCAGAGCCAGCAGAACGTTCAGTCTGAAGGTGAATCCCAAATCTTAACCACAAAGACCAGCTTGCTCCCGGCCCCTCACTCAGAGGAACTTCAGTTCCAGGCTGAAGCCGGTCCTGTGGTTCTGACTCAGAGTGCACCGCTGCCTGAGGGACTTCCCCCAGAACTGGAGGACAGCATTAGGAGCCTGGTGACGGTAAAATGTGTGGATTTTTTTATTTTTTTTGGGCAAACTTAAAAAAAAACCTTGACATATGTACACTGAAAAAACAGAATCTTACTAAATCTTCCCATTAATAGCACAAATACCTGGTGGGAGGACGAATTCAGAAGTAACTTTTAAGCAAAATGTAGGAGTTTGTTTTTAAGTCGGTTTTGTTGAAAAATTACTAATTCCATTAAAAAAAAGCTCTTATTTTGTGCTGAAAAGTTGCTTATATGTTGGTTTATTTCAGGTGTACCAAGAAATTAACTCGAGAAGTTAGACCAAAATACTTGGTAAAGTAGAAAAAAAATATAGCATAGTGAAGTTTTTTTTTTTTTTTTTTTTTTTTTTTTTTTTTTTTTTTTTGTGGTGATATTGTACTGATCAGCTTTTTTTATTTTTTGGTGCATCACTAGAACTTTTTTTAATGAAAAGATATGTACTGGACCCACCATTTATTTATTTTATTTTTTAGGCTGCCAAGACATCTGAGGGAGAGTCAAAACTCAAGTTCTTCAGTCCAGATATCAACTCAATTCTACTCAAGTAAATAAATCCCCAACTGTAAAACATCAAGGAATCATTACATCAGTACTGTTGTCGTTTTACTTCTTTTTTTTTCTTTCTTTTTTTGTGAAATAACATAAGCAAGCTAAACTAGGGAAATTTCACGAGCCAAAGTATCCTAATCTATAGAAGCTATTAAATTGAACAACCAATCTTGCTATTCAACCTTACTGTAACAGCTGATCCTGCTTTCATTCTTAAAAGCTACATATAATTAGACATTGACTGAATGCGACTCAGATTAAGCTACTAATGCATTGCTAAACTGCAAGTTTGGCAAGTTTAAGTTCATATCTCAAACTTTAATGTTCAACATTTAGTATGTCTGCATTGTATTGAGTTCTGCTCGTGTTTGTGTTGCTCCAGTATTGAGCTGCAGTGTCAGGAGCAGAGCAGCCAGCTTCGCTCCAAGGTCTACAAACACCTGTCCTCCTTCATGCCCTGCAGTAAGGATACTTTGCTGAAACGAGTCAAGAAACTGCTCATCACACATGAAGTGAGTCTGTTTTAGGAATTGAAGTTGTATTTCTTTATAGACAGTGTTGGACTGTTTTTAACCCCATCTAACTTTTAAGGAGGAAACTCCTGGTGCAGAAGATCAGCTGCAGCAACTTAAGGAGGCCATTGAAAGATCAATGCCAGAGCAGGTGGCTTGCTTCCAGGAAAGTTATCAAGCCTATGAGCAAGCAAAGATTTCAAAGTAAGTTCTTTAAGTATTTTTTATGAGCTGCCAGCACTGTTAAAGTCCACAACTCGCTTAAAGTTGGGGAATGTCCATCTTTTGGAGGACGTCTCATAATAAACTGAAATCTGGTATTAGTAAATACACTATTATTCACATAGTTTTATTTATTTAACTGCCTTATCATTCACATAATAAAGTTTGTTGTATTAAATGCAACCTTTCTTTGCCTCCTTGAATTGATGTTTGCATGTGTCTGTCATCTGCATTAAAATACCTCCACCAAGCAGACATGCTGCTCCTCCCTGCCTCCCATTTCCATATATTGGAAATGGGAGCAAAAAAATTCAATAATTGAATTTTTTTGCACATTGACAGCAAATTCTATGGCGAAGTTTGTGTAGTCAGAGTCAAGAGTGGTGGGATGGTGTTCCAGTGGTGCCAAAAGTGGGTCCTCGAGGGCCAGCATCCTGAAGGTTTTAGTTTTCTCACTGGTTTAACACGCCTGGATTGAATGATGTCTCATTAAAAGGCCCCAAGAAGAACATTGACCTGCTGAAAAGGTTGTTACCACCAGGGAGACAACTAAAATGTACAGGATGCTGACCTACTTTGGGGATACCTGTGTTATGCACATCACTGACTTTTTCAGCCAATGTTTACATCCAGGTTTACCAGATCTCTTCTTCTGGTGCAGAAATATGTCTTCCTTCAATGGTGTCAACTGTCAAAATCAAGTTCTCATCAAAGTGCATTACTTAAGCTGATTTCAGTTTCTATCGCTTGACAAATGTTGACATTTTGGTAGCTGACTCAAATTCCTATTGGCCTTCCATCGCATCAAACTAATGCTGCATGTAGAATGTAAGAGTAATCCGAAGACTGAACCCAACTGTCCAAACTTTGAAAAACTATATACACTGTGTTGTGTATGTATATAACTGGAGGCTGAGCATATCCATCTTTCCAAATCTGCCTCAGGGAAACGGAAGAGGACGGGGAGGTAGAAAAAAGTATCAGAAAAGCTGTTCCAAAGAAGTTGTTCAAATGGAATCAGGAGATCAGGTGGACTGCTACAAAGATCATCTGAGGGGAAATGTGGGCGATTCATGTAACACTGTTTTTCATAATGTGCAGAGATTGCTTGGGTCTCTTGTTGAAAGAGAAACTGGTGACATGTCAAAAGGAGGGGAAAGAAGGGCAAGAGATTGAAGAATACATGAAGACTATGCTTGACAATGAAGTCAAACCTCTTTGGCCTAAAGGATGGATGCAGTCCAGGTCTGTTGCGATTTCAAAATTTGACGCCAATAAGAGAGAAAAAATTTACTTCATTATAATTTCAGGGTCCTGATGAGGGAGAGCAGGAAGCTGTTGGGCCTCTTTGCTTCACTCCAGTAAGAAAGTCCAGCAATGTCTTTGTATTGCATTTTAAATCTTTTTAGATCATTTTCAAATGATGTGCTTGTTCTCATGTGTTCAGAGTAAACAAGGCCAAGAGCTGTCAAACTGAGAAGCGTCCAGACAGGTGCAGAACCACTCGGGAAACTGAAGAACTAAAGGTGGAGTCGGGCGTCTCGGTCTCCATCTCTCCTCCAAAGGCAGACGAACCTCCAGAGACTCCTGGATGTTCCCTCCTGGATATCCTCGCTGACCAGGCACTGGCTTGTGAGCAGCCCCTCACTCTGTCCAGGGACTGTTTGGCTGCAGCAGTCTTCAAGCCCAGGAGCATTGGGGTGAATGACAGAAGTCCTCCTCTTCCTCCTCCACCACCTCACTCAAGCCCAATCAGTTTCCCTGAGAGTCAGGTTGTTTTGCCTCAGCTGGTTGGAGATATGAAATCTCTTGGAGTCTCCAAACTTAGAAACGGACAGTAGATTAACCTTCATGTAATTGCATATTTCCTGAACCGCTTGCTGAACTGGTTATTCCTGAGGGTTTACAGTAGCTCGGTCAGTTCTGATAGATATTGAAAGATTACTGTTAAATTTCTGGGCAGTACTAACTTGGACATTGTGAGAAACATGACTCGTCTTCAATACTGTCTGATTGTAATTCACCTTATTAAAACTAAATAAAACTGCAAATGAGAGATATGAAGGATTTGGGAACTAAAACTTGTTGATGAGCAACATCAGAATATTGTTGAATAGTCTGTGTACGCATCGTTCCCTCACATCTCGGTGTAATCATAATGAGGTGGCAGGGGCACCAGGTTAGAGGTTTTACAAGGACCATCAACCTTCGGTTAACTTTGGAGAAGAGATGATCAAACATCAATCAATGAAGGGTTTTACTGGTGACTTTTCTGCCATCTGTTCGCTGCATTCTCGTTACACGTGTGCAAAACTTTCAGTATTTTACTAATGTCAGGCTTGTTTCCTTTTAAAGAAATCTATTCAAACCATGCAGTGGCATGGTTAATGTAGTGTGAATTGCTTTGTGGTCTTCTGGACTAGATAAAGCCTCATTACAATACCAGCAATTTACCACTAGAAATGGATTTATAAGTGTCTTTACAAAGCAGCATATCAACTTTCTAATCCGTTAAATTGTATGGATGTTGGACTTGTTTTCATCAAACATCTAAGATATTTAACATTGCCTTTTCTTTACACATCTTCCAGTATCGCAACGTGTGAGAGCCAAGAATGAATCCCTGTTGGATTCGATGCTTAACCAATCGTGAAGTGAGGGAAATTGTAAGTGAACATGATGCACCAGAAAGTCTAATAAATGTTGGACATTCTTTTTTTTTTTTTCCCCCCTCCTAAGAGGTCAGTAAATTGTTCTTAGCTCTGTGTTGGGTGGCTGCAGCATTGATTTTGAACAATACGCTGAATTCAGGGAAGATGTTCAGTTGGGACAAACGTTTCTGTATTTTACAAACACTCCAAATATCATAAATGACATTACAACGACACAAAATTTAACCGATGCTTAGATTAAAAGAAGCATGCCTCAATTAACGAAGAGTTGATCCTGAAGGCAGATTTTACATTTGAATGTAGACTTAAAAAAATATGTACACTGGATATGAATTAAACAAAGCAAGCATCCAACAAAACTTAGAATTCACTAAATTAAATAAACATTTTCTTCAAAGCAGCATTCATAAAAATGGGCTTTAACATTTTGAGCAAGGGTTGGTCTGCTGCCAGAACATGTACCTTAGCAGTGGCTCCTCAGAGTAGATTTTGCTGTTATTGGGACGTGTCCTGGTGTTTGAGGTCTTTCTAACCAACATATAAGGGGAAAAGATGCACAATTCAAAAAAACATTTTTTTTTCATACTGAAGACACTCAGATTCTGGGATGGGTTTCCCACATCTGGACCAGTCCAAGTCGGGAATGGTGTGTTCCCTCAGGTTTCAGTCAGTTAATCAAATGAGCAAGAAGAGCGATCAATAAGAAGCATCCTCGACATCTGATTGTAGTTCCTGTGAAAGAAACGGACATAATTATAAATTCTTTCCTTTTCATTGGAAATGAGATCTAAATGATTTAGCAGGAAACATTGTTGAGGAGAAACGGCTTGTGTTACCGTTTCCTCCTAATGCCTGGTTTTGAACTTCACAGTCTAAAGGTTTTTTTTCCATGGATGTATGACTATGTTCTGGATCCCCTTGAGGGAGAGGAACAAATAACATTTAGATTCATTATAGTTACAAAAACATGCACAGGCTTGAAACTTTTGACAATTTTTTTCTCATTTCAATCTTTTAATGTATTCAGATTTTATGTGATCAGGCGAAGACAACAGTCATGTCTAACAGGTTTTTGTCCCTGTACTTGGTTCGATTTCCATCAACTCCAACCAACTTTCCTGTACTGAGATGTACAAATTCATTAATGATCTTATTTGCTGTTTGTTCATTTCCTCAGTAATGTTCTGAAAGAAATTGCTAGAACAAATGCTTTAAAGCCAGCTAATCACATAATACCCTCCACTATTTTTTCTCATAAAAATAAAATAAAACACTCGCCACATTTATTTTTTTCAGCCATTACTATTTCTATAGTTTCCTTCATGACTTATCTTTCTCAATTCTGAAGGGTGATGAGTACTCTCAATGTCAAAATTGTGTTCAAATAAGAGGTTAATGAGCAGTACTCTGTCAGATTTAGGATAGTTCAAATAATCCTGGATAAGATGAGCACACCAAAGCTATCCTGGAATGGCAGAATAGTGACCTCTCCTTTCACTGTATTTAAATTACATGACCCTGCCAAAAAAAAAGAAGAAAATCTTATTCTCTGCTTTCTGTCTTGCGTTGTCAGCTGCTGGTATTATATTTTTAATACCTCTCATCGCTGACATTGTAATTGTATCCATTTGCTGTAAATGTGCACAAATTGAAATTATGAAAAATTTGGTTTAAAAACAAACACGTTTTTAAATGAGGTTTTTGTGCTGGGATGAGGTGGGTTTTGGGTTTCAGTCGTAGAGAAATGGGTGTGTTGCAAAACTGCAATAGAAACATTTTTGCATCATAAGTCATGATCAACAGACAGATGTTACCACTGGGAGAAACTTCAAAGACAACAGGAAGTAGTAGAAGGAGAAGGATGTTTTTTTTATTCTTTTTTCTCCCAATGTGCAGCTGGCTCAACCAGAGCTCCCACTGCATCATACAGAAACCTGCGTCATTCCCACCTGTTGAATCTTATGTGAAATCACTGACTACAAATTCCCCAAAACGCCAAGAATAAGGGTGCGAGGGGTTGGTGGATCCAACAAATAAAATGCTGAAGTCTTCTCTGATTGGGCGATGACCGCTAGAGCCAAGACTGAGTTCTGAATATATCTCATGTTTACATCCGCCCGACTTTTATTGACTTGTCGCCTAAAGAAGCTTAATCACATGTGATTATAATTTTTTTATTGGAAACGGCCCAATTGTGAAATAGTTTTCCGGCATTAGCAGAATAGTGAGAAAGATTTGCGCACTTTTATTATGGAAATGCATCTACTGTTACCTTTTACTTTTTAATTGGCCTAAATTAGTATACTTTTATTTATTTTTACCTTAATCAGTACTGTTTACATTTTTCAGATTTGATTTGTAAAACATGTTTAACAACCTTGAATCTCTTTTTCTACAGAATCATTACATTACTTTGTGTAATTCCGACACATGTAATGAAATTAAAGTGCAGAACATTGTAGTTGTGATGTTCAGTTTAAAGTTCGCTCACAGAGGACCGTTGCGGTGATGTTCTGCGATCTCTCTGCTGGAGGCTGCTGTGGTCCCGACGGCCCCAGCTCCAGCTTCGCCTCACACCAATACTGGTTTTCATCGTCCCCTCTGCAGGGAACGACGAGCAGACTGAAGCTCTCTTCCACTGGAGTCTTCTCTGCGGTCCTGTTGGAGCGGAGCTCAGCCAGCGCCGTCCGTCCCTTGTAGAAGGTCACCACCAGGTTTTGCACGGGCGCGACGTCCTCAACTCTGCACTGCAGAACGTACTGTCGTCTCTCGTACATCGGGCCGCTGTGATTCAAAAGCCGGATGGAGACTGTTTTTGGTGGCTCTGTGGAGACAGACACAGGGTCAGGGAACTTAAAATCCTTCTATTTTCTTGTTTGGTTTAAATAAATAAAAAACTCACGGTAGACAATCACAGAGAGAGAACTGCTGCATTCCCCTCCCTCATCAGACAATGCATAACATACAAGGCTGAGACTCCATTCAGTCAAGCTGTCCACACGCCACGTCAGGACACTGGTGTATGAAGGCCCCTTTTGGTAGAAAGACAGAAAAGAGAAAAACAAAAAGAAATTATTGAGCTTGTTTTGATTTATCATGTGATTAATTGATTTATTGCCTAAATCTAGGCTCTATTCTACACTGTGTGTAATGTACTTACTATAACTGGTGCCATTTCTATTTAGCTTACAACGTACCGACAGTATTATTGCTACTGATTTTAACATTACCGGAGTACTAACAAATGAAAATTAATTCTTAAATACATTGATATTTAAGTGTAGCATATTATTCTAATATGGTACTTGAAAGTAACATAAGCTGATAAACACTGAATTTAGAGTTTAAGAAGTTAGATATTTTATTTCCCCAATAGAGGCGGCAGAAAATAAGAAGAGATTAAACTCTCTGTACTAATTGTAAAAGTAATAAAGAAATTGTTTTTTGATATTTAAAAGCATTTAGTTTGTATTGTTCATTGTTATATATATATTTTTAATCTTGCTAGCCTGTTTGCTCTTCTGCACCCCACAAGTGGTGTGGAGGCCCTAAACAGCTGATCAAATCTATATGCCTTAGCCCAGCCCTGCACAGGAATTCATGCAACAAGTAGAGGTTCAGCATCAGCAACATATTAACATGTATGCTTTAATATAAAAACACTAATATGGTTTATTCCAAACTCTAAAATTCTTAAGCCATTTTTGTTTTGTAATTCAAACTCCAGACGTGTCTCCGTTATTGAGCATGACATCATAACCAGGGAGTTTCTGTCTTGCCTGTAGATCTAACCAGCCCATCATAGAATCTCCAGGGTTCGATTTCGAGCAGTTAGCCGAGGCTGGATCTCCAAACCTAAAACAGGATAGTTTATCAGAAACTGTTTGTTTTATTTTATTTTCTGAACCGCTTCTTAAATTTAGACCCCACCTGACCACAAGAGTTGAAGGCGAAATCTGTAGACTGCAGCTGGCCGTGGTCATCCGCTCCACGGAGCTGCCGGTGGAGGTCAGGGCCGGGAGGCCAAGAGATGAGGGCCCGGGGCCTGTTGGTGAAGGAGAGTGGGGCAATATCTGAGACGGTACATGTGAGGCAGGAGGAGTTATGGGAGACGAGGTAGCTGAGGGAACAGAGAGCGAGAGAATGAGTTACAACTACATTTAAATTCCCTTTGGGATTAATAAAGCAGTTTTGAATGAAATAGAAAACAAAACAACGAGTTGCACTCATGCAGCAGAGACAGCTGAGACTAAACTTTTTAAAATTATTTTAGATTAATTGGAATTTCCAAAACCACCTGTAGAGGGATTCTTTTAGTGAAACTAAACTTCATTTAGTTTGTCAAATTGGTGTAAATTATTTTACATAAATATTTGGTTTAAATATTTTTTTAAACCAAATTTATACAGCAAATGTATTCAGAAATGTTTTCATGTTTTGTCACGTTAAAACCACAAACATGAATATATTTAATTGGAATCTAAAGCAGAAGACACAAAGGTACAAGATTATGAAGTAGAAAAGAAAGTTATGCCTGATTCAAAATGTTTTTTTTTTTTGCAAATGAAAAACTGTGTGCAATGATCCAGTCAAAGTCCAGAACAAAAACCCAGTGGAGAATCTGTGGCGAGGTCTCCACTGGGTCTCTCCATCCAACCTTACTGAGCTGCAGATGCTTTTGTGAAGAGCAAAACTTTTCAATCGCTCCCCAGACACAGCTGGCAGAGACAAACCCTGAAACACTAGCAAAAGTGGTTCCACAAAGTGCTGACTCAGGGGGCACTGCATTCCTTTACACTGCACTTTTCAGTTTTTTTATTTATAAAAAAAAATTAAGTTTTGAATCGCATATAATTCACTTTCCGCTTCTCAATGTGTACCACTTTTTGTTTTCCACTAAATTCCAGTGAACTACATCTGCGGTTGTGACAAAATGTGGAAAACGTCAAGGGGTGTGAATACTTTAGGAAGCCACTGTGTGGACCTCAACAAACCGAACCATGTCAGTCGCGTTACGCTCATCCGCATTGCATGCTGCAAGTCTTTACAATGTCGACTCCCAACCTATTTATGAATACAACAATGCATCCCTCCGTCTATTTACTTTGGCATTGTGAGGCATGACCTCATGACTCAGAATCTCCTGCCCTTGCACAGTGAAGGCCAGGGTCAACTGAATGTTGCCACCTAGTGAAATATTACCCATTCTGCTGATCTGTTGTGAGCCATTGTTTCTTTGCGGGCCGAGTCCACCCAGCGTGTTCCTCTGAGGAAGGAAGGACACCCTGCCCAAGTCAAAAGAACCTACTCCTCTTTTTGGACCGGCCATTGTTCCAGCGAACCCCGAGACTGTTCTCCTATCTGATGATCTCACCCACAGCAGACGGGCTGGCCGTCAGAATGATTACACGGTAACGGTACGGGTGCAGTCCCCCTTCACCAGCCTGCTGGCGCACCGATTGGCTTAAAAAGAGCTTGAAAAATGATGTAAAATGAATTGTAATCTTTTTTAGTTATCTTAGTCAGAGAGAGGACTGTATCAAATAAAGCCATTTTGAATTTGGGATTCAAATTCAAAAACAAACAAAGTAACACATGAACAAGTGAAACACTAATTTCTTGGAGCAAAGGTGTTTGCAAAGAGCCAAAACTCTGAGTTCCTTGAAGTCTAGATTTAAATCCCTCAGCAGTTTGAGACGTGACAAATGGAAACGCTGACCAACGTATTTGATGCGATAATGCTGATTTAGATGAACGTAATGTTCGGTTCCCTCAAATTGGTGACTCTTGTTTGTAGGACTTTTCATCGTTCTGTTTTTATGATGTAAAACACTTTGAACTGCCTTTTTGCTGGGATCTATCTATCTATCTATCTATCTATCTATCTATCTATCTATCTATCTATCTATCTATCTATCTATCTATCTATCTATCTATCTATCTATCTATCTATCTATCTATCTATCTATCTATCTATCTATCTATGCAAATAAGCTTGATTGATTGATCAATCAATTAATTGCGTAATTCTTCAAATTTAACAAAACTGTCAAGGTTACAAAGTTCATTCTGAAATACGTCAACTGATTTATCAATTTCTAGATTTAAATTTGTGGGATTACAATCCATTGAGTCAGATACATAACTTCTCGGCAGAAAAATTGACTCAATTTGTTTGTGTTAATTTCACAAACAATCTGAGTCTTTTTCTCAACTTCTAGGTTAAAGATTGAATATCCTTCGGACATATTTACCGATAGTTTTGCTTTCATATTTGGCCTGAAATACAGCACATATTACCCACATCTGATTTAAGCTCTTACAGTTTCTATTTTTTGTGGTCTTCTTAAAATCCATATGAATTCAACATGTCATCCACCTGTTGCGAGCGTGTGCGTCTTACCCAATCTTTTTGATGCGTACCAAACCAAAACAAACAATCCCCATTTCAGATCTCACGCTTTTGTCATCCGCCCTGTTCCTTGGAAAAAATGTCCAACACCTTCTCGCTTTGCTCATCCCACTCTCCTTTAACTCACCCGAGCCAACGAGGCGAATCAGCACTAGCGTTAGCGACCATCCTGCTGCATACATCCTTCCCCGCGTTCCCTCACTCCGAGGCTTTTTGCTTCTGCTAAAAGGAGAAACTGAAAACCGATCCTCCGTTGATGCTGACTGGGAGCACGAGCTGAGAGCTCTGAGAAAAAGTGGGTGTGTGTGTGCTTGTTCTGTGACTGATGATCAGGCAGTTCCTTTTGCACTGGGGCTCTGAAAGCCACCCTGGGCGTTCTCTGTTGGTATATCAGGAGAGGAAGGAAGGGAGGGTCAAGAATAATCCATTGAAATGCTGCAGCATTACACTGGAGGGGAAGATTTGAGTTTGCTTATGAGTGTATTTCTGAGTGATAAACATGGGTGGACAACTAATCAGCTCAAATGAACACACACAAAGTGCGCTACGTAGATATAAATACACATTCCCAGCAGTTCTCACTCTTACATCAATTTTCTATTTTTTTTTTACTCTAATGGTTTATGGTTCACTGATTTTATTGGGAGCATTTGAAGGTACAATTTTACTTTTTGGAGCTTGACATGATGTTCTCATTTTATTCCCTCATCGAAAACATTCATGAGGGAGTGAATGTTTTTGTGGCGTTGCCTCGATTAGTTCATGCATGTTTGATTAAACCCTTTAATCTCATGTGCGGTGTGAAATGCCTGGGCGGGCCTAGCTCCGCCTTCAAGCATGAAGCTCCTCCCCCTGTTGGCTGCACCCCCCGAAGCTGATGGACATGTTTTTCAGCTGATCCTGAACTTACAGGCTTTTTTACAATGAGCTGTTTGTGCAGGCTGATTAGAAATGCATGCCACACTTTTTAGATTTTAAGTAAAAAAATATATATATTACCTTTTACAGGTCCACAAGAATGTGCAAAGACTATCTATCTATCTGTCTGTCTGTCTGTCTGTCTGTCTGTCTGTCTGTCTACCTACCTACCTACCTACCTACCTACCTACCTACCTACCTACCTACCTACCTGTCTGTCTGTCTGTCTGTCTGTCTGTCTGTCTGTCTGTCTGTCATACTCATTATGATATCATATCTGTTTGGTGTACTCACTAGTCAAACTGTTGTTTGCCCTCTTCACCGCTTGTATAACTTCCTGCTCTTCAAAACCGAAACTTGAAAAGAAAACTCCCCGCCGCCATTTCTTATCGATTCATATTTGCTGCGTGGAGAGCCGCAGGCCCCGTCTTTAGGAGCAAGAGGTTCTGCTTCAGGCAGACGGATAAACGAAAGAAAAAAAAACTCGTCAGGATTTTAAAGTCTGCACCGAAGCAGCGCGCGCTCTCTCTGCTTTCACAGGCGGTGCTGACGCAGAGGTACGTAAAAACCCCCAAAACACTTTCTTTTTTTTTTCCGTTGAGGCGCTTTTTTTCAATCAACAGGTCTCTTAAACAAGAACTAGTGTTCTTAAACAAGAACACGAGTCTTCTTATTTCTATGTCAGTCCGCTCTCGTGAAAATAAACGTCATTTATTTCATTATTTAAAGCAGTTGCAGCTTTAAGGCGTTTTTCTCACGTGCGTAAAAAAAAAGAAGAAAAAAGTAACGAAAGTGCGACAGATAAAGCGACTGTTTCGGTCCAGATGTGGTTGACGTGCAGCTGTTCTGTAGTAACTCGTCTCGTGCCCAGCAGGCTCACATCCCGCCTGCTTCCACTGAGGGAATCACTCGGTTACCGCAAGAATAATCCAATTTGTCTATTTGTCTATTTTCCTGTTTAAGTATGTTTTTGATGATTTACTAAGATAAATAGGCACACATTTAGAAACTCTACCTTTAATTCAAGTATGTTTCAGGCCCGTTTTATGACGGGTTATTAGTGAGCGGGACTGATCTCTATGAGCCTGCTGCCGCCTCACTAAAGGGCTATTCCGCTGTATTTACCAACGAGACAACGTTGAACCAGGAGCTCGTTGATTGCTCTGATTTGCACTGATTGCAGTTTTCTTGCCAATCATTGATCTTCAAAAAGTCAATCTTGCCCATGTCTGTTTTTTTTTTTGTGTTTTTTTTAACAACACATATAGGCTACTTGATGGTAGCCCTGAAGTGCACAGCCACAGATCACTAACAAATTTAAAAACATTGAAACGACAAATTCAAAACCACTGCATTAACTAAACATGACTGCAAACTTTACGTGTTCCAATGTTTGACACGGCTGCTTGTGGGCCTCGTTTATTTCATTAAAGTGGTTTTTGCTATACAGTGACAGAAACAAATATTAACGCGGCCACTAATCATACTTTTGAACTGCTGAAGAAACCTGTGAGCTGATATCCCCTGTTTTCTGTTCAGTGAGCAGACATGAATGTCGCAGAGCTGCTTCTGGAGTATCTGGAACAGCTGGATAAGAAGGATTTTGAGACGTTTAAGTGGCATCTGAAGCAGCACAACCTGGAAGGCTACAAGCCCATTCCTCCGTGTTATCTAGAGGACGCACAGCGGACTACAATAGTGAGTAAGATGATAGAGAACTATACAAAAGACATTGCTGTGACAGTTGCCGTGACCATCCTGAAGAAACAACAAATGAATGATCTTGCGCAGAAGCTGTCAAGCGCACATACAGGTGATTGTGACGTTACTTGATTCCCTTTTTGGCTACACTTTCATCCTCTGCCATGTCTTGTGCACTAATCAGCTGATTGTTGATTTTTTTTAAGTGCAGAAAAACTGAATACTGTGTCTTCCACCACTTCCTCTTCTGGAACCGCGCCTGAAGCCTCACCTGCTGGTGTAGCTGAGCCACCTGCTGCTGTAGCCGAGCCATCTGCTGCTGTAGCCGAGCCACCTGCAGCTGCAGGTGCAGGTCACTCATTGGTAGCTAAGGAGAGAAGTGTGATCTTTGCTCCAATCATCAGCAATAGTGGACCCGGAACATGGAACATAACTCTTAGCAAAAACTAATGAAACTGCTGCCTGAAACACAGCCTGTTTTTAGTGCTGCTTTACAATGGGTTTATTGTACTTTATTTGACTTTCTCCTTTTTTTTCTGCAATTTTAGTTTTATTTTCAGAGGTACGATCATTTGTCATTGTATTCAAATAGTCCAAGCAGACAAAATCAGTGTTTAAGCGACTGTCGCCTCATCGCACAAGTTCCTCAGGAAATGAACAGAAACTCGCAGAGTGTGGTGCTCTTGTTCTGCTCCCATTCTGTTGTAATTCAACTATCTCTTTTTCAGAGAGATCCACTTCAGCCTTGGTTTAGTAAATTTGTCTATTTGGATATGCAGATGTCACCTTTTTAATTGTAATAGATGTTTACTGGGATTCCCAAATAATGAAGTCTGAGATGTCAACAATAAGTGTTTCAAAAATAGTTGGGTATCTTCTGAAGGTATGATCGAACCGAAGGTTATGGCCCTTGTGAAGGATTTATTTCATGCTGACTTAATGGAGCTTCAATGGAAATAAAAGCTGTTATCTTATCTGTGAAGTGATTTTTGACTTATTTCTGTCATTTTCTTACACGTTTGCATTGCTACACATGTGCGTTATTCCACATGAGATTAAAGGTCTTCTTCTTTCCGCTGCACAAATGCTTGACAGATTTTGCTTGATTTGGGAAATGCTGACGTTGAAACTTCCACAAATATCTTCAAAGCAAAAGCAGCACAAACAAAAGTGTGCAGCACATATTAGCTAATAAGTTAATTGACTCCAGTTTTGACTGATCTGAAGAAGTTGGTGGGGGCTGGTTGAACTTGACCTCTGGAAATTATTATTGAAATCTGTGAAATCACAGTACACAAAAATGTTGCTGCACAGACCAGGATACGTGCAGCACAAACGTTTCACGGGGTCTCTTTACAAGCAGCAGCATTTTAAGTGAGGCTATCCACTTTTATTGGCATCACATTGACCTTTCCAGAGTTGTTTAAACTCGCTGGTCTCCTGATGTATCTGCTGGGCTGTCGGATCTGATCCGACGTGGAGGGGCGGTTCCGTTCCCAGGTAAAACCACGTGACCTAAAGGCTACAAGGTGCAGAGAAAATCGTGTCAATAGAAATTTTTGACACCGTCAATGTCATTTTGACTGAAGATCCGTCATAAATCATGTCTCCCCCGTCACCGGCCTGCGGGGTGCATTTGTTCCAGCTGCAGAACCAATAAGTTGTTGTCGTTCGGTTTGTGACGGCTCTGCCCGAACCCACCGGAATATCACCAACCAGGAAGTGGCAGCTCCCCAACGTCTACTGCAAGCTAGCTTGGTGGTTTACGCAATGAAAGAACTTATACATCGGAAAACGTAAAGGACGCGTGTTGTCATTTAACAACGGAATAGGTCGTTTGTGTGGCCGAGCGTCGTTTTTGACGATACGTTTCATTGTGACGATTCGAGACCGGAAGGACTGCTAGCAAGCTTGTTGTTTAGCCATCTGGCAGAATTGTCGACAGCTGACAGTTAACGTTAGCGGGTGTTGTGATGGCCGTGCCGCACAGACAGCTCTCCGTTGCGGTAATTGTACTCCTGGTGCTGCTGTCGGGGTGTAACGCGAGGATACACAAGCTCAGTCTAAAGGTAAGTGCGAAACACGGCTTTAGTTTCGAGTAACGTCAGCGTTAGCCCGGGTAGCTTATGCTAACGCCACGAACATTGACGTTGCTTCACTAAAACCCACAGCGTGTTGATTACATTTAATGGCATTAGAGGTGTTAACACGGGGCCACACTGCTGTATTTATGTTAAATATGTATGTGTTTGCATTGGATGTTATGTAGCAAGCTGTGGCTATTTACTGGTTTCCAGAAAACCTGAACTTTGTTTTTAGGCTCCAAATTGAAAAAAAAGTCAAACCAAAGCTGAGTCACTGTATTTACGAATGTATTAAATTACAATTTATGCTCTTTAAAGTCGTTATGTTTGTGGAAAAAGTAGCCGGTCAAACAAGTGAAAGCGGCGCTTGTTTGGCAGGAAGACAACATTTAGGTCGGGTCAAATGTGACAGTGGTCATGTTAGCGCCATGCTAATTGTTCTGCGTCAAAACAAACCATGTTAGCGGAAAAATCACATGAAGTGAGCTCTAAATGATACTGACGTCACGTGTTTATGTTGCATATTGAGACAATCTCTCAATTTCCACAAAAAGTTGGGACAAAAAAGCCTCCCATATATTTCTTAAACATATCATTTTTAGGTGTTTCCATAAGATATTCCACAAATGAGCTCAAATCAACATCAGAAATGTTGATTTTTACCAATTGGACTTGCTGTCTTCCCTTTTCTCATTCCAGAATTTGCTTTGACCGAAACCTACAAATTTGTTTCTCGTTTATTCTGAGAGCCAGTTAGCTCATGTATGGTTACAGTATTTGTGATCACAAATATTAAACAATATCAAACTTTTTGTTTTTCCAGAACGAAACACGGTTTACCATTGACCTCAACAATTTTGGTTTCTTTGCAAATGGAACTCTAAATGTGACTCTGTCCTCCCTGTGGCTCAGTGACCTGGTGAACTACAGCCTCTATCCAGTAAGTTTGTTTTTTTCATTTTCTTTCAGGTAAATATAAAGAAAAAGAAGAGTTGAAGGAAGCGGTAGTAATTTTTTTTTTCTACCCATATTAGTTTTGCAATGAGAACTCTAGTATGTTCTTTTAGATCCTGTTTGAGAAATGATATTAAGATAATTGATTGTCTTTTTTTATTATTGGATACATTTTCTCTTCGTTTATAAGACTGGTGTAACTTGCTGACTGCTTAGTTTTCAAATGCTTGAGTATGCAGTGCTGAAAAAAGAAATCCGTTCTGTGACCCAATCTACTTTTTTGAAATTTATTTAAGAGACTGTTTGTGTGCTGTTGGCCACTGTAGGTGCAAAGGGAGCACATTTCTGCCAAAAATATCAGAAATTTTGAGATTAATTTCAGAAATGTGCTAGAAAAAAACGTTGACGTTTCTGAGTTTGAAAAATCAGAATTTTTCTAGGAAAAAACTCATAAAATTTGAGATTGAGAAACAAATATCAGAAGTTTGAAACCTTTTGATTGAGAAAATCATGCTCATCTGAAATGGGCTTCTCTTACATAAAGAAGTGATTTCTACCACTAAGCTGCACACAGTAATTGCTTTTTTTATATTTTTGAATTTACTGATATTTATTGATGATCTCGTGGAACAAACAGCAGAGAACATAGTAAAAATAAGATTTCCAATAATATAATAATATTTTACATTAATTGAAAGTTATCGAGCCAAAAATTAATCTGAATTTTCCTAAGAAATTTTTAATGATAATACAGTAAATGCCCACCTGGCCTGTCACAATAAGCAATAAATCAGTGAATCATATGATAAATTAAAACAATCACAATAATGTCCATTTGAGTAATTTATCTTTTTTCTCTACAAAAAACTGAATGATAAAAAAGTCTTCAGTTTGTGCTTTGGTCTCAACTGGCTCCTGCTTTTGAAGGACAATTTTGTTTACAGAGACTTCATGGTTCATTTGTTGTTGTTGTTATTTCTGTTTTATTTATTTTGGATATTTAAAACATCTTCCAGTTCCAGTGCTAAATTTTGGTTAGAATTTAAACTTCATTGATCTTTGAGAACGTGTTCCTGAATTATTACTCTATCAATATTATGCTAAAGGAAAATGATCTCAAAATGACAACATTATCATTTATCGCAATAAACTTCTGGGACAATTTATCACCCAGAAAATGTATCATGACAGGCCTAACCACAGCTAATCATAGGTTTTCTCTCTGTATTGATGGAAACCAACAGACAGAGCTGATTCATGTCCACATTGTTGTCTGCTTTAGGTTGGCTTCAGCCTGTCCAGGTCTCGAGTCAATGGGGTGTTGTCGTACACAGTGAGTACCCGCCTTGATATTTAAACATCTGGTTTTCTACAGCTCTCAATCATCAACATATCCTTGATGATATTTGATCTGTTCAACGTTGTTCATTTCTAATGTGTTCTCTGGAGGCGGAGGAGACCGAGGCGTGCCCGCTCACTGCGACGAAGACCACCAACGACGAACCCCTCATTCTTTTTCTCATCGACAGCAAGCATCTGGGGTGTGTGTTGTTTAAGGCTCATATGTTCCTAATGTATCACAGCTTTGTGCGAAGGTTAAGCGTTTGACTTCTGTCCGTTTAGAGTCAACGTGAGCGCCATGGGCATTCAGGATAACTTCCTGCTTGCCAAAGCCAAGTCGGATGAAAGTAAAGGTTTGTGTTGCTGATTCTAACGCTTCTCAAATTAACTGCTGCAGGGTGAATGGCGCCATCGTTTTGAAGTTAATCTTGATGTGTTTCTATGCCTCCATTTCTGTTGTTTAGAAAAAAAGAAGGTTGCAAAGAGGGAAGCTGGCGATTCAAAACCAGGCGATTCAAATGCAAAGCAAGGCGATAATAAAGGGATCCCAGAACCACCAGCAAACGAAAAGTCAAACACTGTTGAGGATGCGAAGAAAGTGGAGGAAACTACATTCCTGGTGAGATTTTTTTTGTTTTTCTTGTGGCTACATATTTGTGCAGTTTTAAATCAGCGTCTTAACTGTAATTTCTTGCAGCTGAACAGTTCAGTCAAGCCGATTTTAGCCCTGGACAAAACAAATGGCTTTTACAACTTCAGCGTAAGTGTCCTTTGCTCTTCATTTAAACAACATTTGGCAGTGTTTGGTTGGCTTTGCTCCTTGATGTATGTTACAGGATTGGACATCTACATGATTGATGTAGATGAATGGTGCATGGTGTTACATGCACCATTACATTACAATAGTTAGTTAAACTTGAACATACAATGCCTTCTGCAGCCGCAATTATGTAAAATTAAATTATTGACTAATATAAAAGAAACAGATCTACTTAATCCTCTCTCAGAAAGTAAAATATTTCTAGATTAAAATCCAGGAAGAATACATAGTTTACGTATCAGAAAATCTGCAATTTTTTCATCTTTGATGAGTCATTTTGTAGAAATCAGGTTAGAATTAAGGGCGCCATTTTGTGAGCGCTTCCTGCTCATCCTGCACTGGAACGGTATGGTTTTGTGGACGTGACTCGATGCGTCGCAACGGCGGCTGAAGGAGCGCCTCACTTGCTGCAGCGGCTGATGGGCGCCGTCCAATCCAGCGCTGCATATCGATAGTTGTTCCGTCTGGCTTAACGTCTCTCCTCCTCTACAGTTCCGCCTGGTCGTCGGCCCAAAGGATCAGGGTCTGTACAGCCTGAAGTTCCACTACTGTAAGAACAGGGTGGCCGGAGTCAAGCTGCCTTACGGCTTAACGGTGAGTCAACGAGCGTTGGCGATGCTCTGCCAGCCCTCAGGCGTCTGATAGCTGTTCGTTTAACGTTTCCCCCCAACCCCCTGCAGGTGGATGTGGTAGAGAGGAACCCAGGGAGCTTCCTGTCTGCAGCCGAAATCCCCTTGTCTCGTCTTTACATATGTATGGCCGGAGTCTTCTTCACTGCTGCTATGGTGTGGGTCTACACGCTCATGAAGCACAGGTACATGGCATGAATTACACTCAAATTGTGATTTCTTTTATATCCCAGAGGTTTTGTCGCATCGAGGTGGACACAAAAAACGTAATAAAAACTTTGATTGTCTGTGAACGCATCAGCCGCTTTTCGTGTGATGCTTTCAAGCAAAGCCTGAGGTGCATCCTTGCCCCTCGATGGGGCTCCTGTAATGACAGAGGGGCAGCTATGCAGGGGTTGAAGACATGTCGTCGTTCCAGTTGGTGGCCATGGTATCAAAACATTGAGTTGTGTAAAGTGAAGGCAGCATGAGCAGCACTTTTCTGAGCATCCTCTAAAAGTCTTAAATTTATGTATCTAAAATTGAGACCAGAAAATGTCTTGAATACATTTTTTTAAAAGTAAGTTTACCTTAAAATGTCTTAAATTTTTGTCTTGACAGGAATACTTAATCTTGTATATTCTACTTATTGTCTTTTTCCTCGGGACGTTTCTATCAAACCACAATTTGAGTCGCACTCAGAGATCTTCATTATGGACAAATACTTTAGTATCATGCTAACCACACAGGCCACAAAGTTAGCCAGATGGCTAACTAGCATAAAACCCAAGATTTATGGGTTTTACCTGTTTACCTTTTGGAGGGTTTGCACCTGCAGGACACAGGAGAGTCCCACACCCAAACCAAACACGCACACAGTCTTTTGAACTGTAAAAGGCCGATAAGGAGCAACTCATCTCCACAGCCGTCTTACTTTATTTATTGCACCCACATCCTGTTGAGACATAAGCCAAGTTCACACTACAGACCTTGGACCATGTTATCTTTGGTGAGTGAAGGCAGCAGCATTTTATCCACGTGTAAAAGTAACTGATGGATACGATGTTCAGAAACCAAACAAAACACTGCAGATAAAACAGAAACACAAAGAATCATCAACCACAGTGACATTTTTGTTCCATAAGGTCAGAGAAAAGCACCAACTGCCTTTCTGTAACTTAAATATAATTTTTTTTTTTCCCTCATCTGCTTCTTTACAGATACAGCGTGTTTAAGATCCACTGGCTGATGGCTGCACTGGCATTCACCAAGTCCACTTCTTTAGTTTTCCACAGTGTAGGTCACAGTGCTAGTAATTCTCTTCATGTTCTCAAACATCTTGAGGCATTTTCTGTTTTATCACAACTGTCAAGGTAGTTTATGTGTCCATGGCTTCTGTTTTTCACAGATCAACTACCACTTTATCAACATCGAGGGTCATCCTATCGAAGGCTGGGCCGTCATGTATTATATCACACACCTGTGAGTTATTTCTGATGGATTTTTATTTATTTATTTATTTTTATTAGGGATGCATTGTTGTGAAAATTTGAGCTGATATACATATTCTCTACCATGAAAAATAATGCACCACACCACTGAAACAGGCTTTGTGCTGTAGTTGAACATGTGGTGTACCATCTCTCTCACATGGCCAAACAAATACCAGAAATATAGTTTGGAAAATACTCTATATTCTGGAATATAAATCAGTTATTTTCATAAAGTCCAGATTGACTTGTGTATGATTTTTTACCTCTTCCTGACACATTTTTTTTGGCTTACGCTGCTTACACTCTGAAGCGACCTATAGTCCGGAAAATACGGTAAAAGACCGTTATTGACATACTTTTAATTATCAGGCCAATATCATGTCAAAAAATGACGAACGTCGTCCGATACCAATGTTGATCCTGATATGTCATTCATTTCTTGTTTGGATCCTATTTGTTTTTAACATTCTGCATGAATACTCCTGTTTGTCAGGCTGAAGGGGGCGCTCCTGTTCATCACTCTGGCACTGATTGGGACGGGCTGGGCTTTCGTTAAATACATCCTCTCTGACAAAGAGAAGAAGATCTTCATGATAGTCATCCCTCTGCAGGTACTCTGTGTGTGTGTGTGTGTGTGTGTGTGTGTGTGTGTGTGTGTGTGTGTGTGTGTGTGTGTGTGTGTGTGTGTGTGTGTGTGTGTGTGTGTGTGTGTGTGACTGTGATACCTTGTGGGGACCATTTTCCTGACACATACAACGTTGTGGGGACCAAAGCCTGGTTCCGACAAGGGGAAACACTGTTTTTGGGTCAGATTTAGGACTAAGTTGTGAATTGAGTAAGGGTTACGGCCAGAAAAGTGTGTGTGTTGGGGAACCTGCTTCTAGTTTGAAGTTTGTGCATTTCCTATATATCTGTGTGTGTGTGTTTTCCTACTAGGTGCTGGCGAATGTTGCCTTTATCATCATCGAGTCGACAGAGGAAGGCTCCAGTGAGTACTATCTGTGGAAGGAGATCCTCTTTCTGGTGGACCTTATCTGCTGCGGAGCCATCTTGTTCCCCGTCGTCTGGTCAGTGTGATGCGCAGCCTGAGGCCGTGTCAACTGTAGATCTAGTTTTGGGGGGAGATGGATGCACCAGTGCACTTTTTTCTCTACTATTTCAGATTTAGTGCTAAATTGACTTAAAACAGTTCTGTTTTTTTAAACACAGACATAAATGTTCTGGGTTACAGATTTATTTGATAACTGTGCAGCAGTACAGCTCACTTAGATAGCTTCACAAGCTAATGTAAAACTTATATTTGTTCAGTTTGTGCAATTAGGAGGATAGCAGCCAATGTAAAGAAAATAATAAACTGAAACTGACTAAAACAATAGGTTGACTATCTTAGTGAAACATGAAAAAATCCAACTCCAAAAAACTTTTTCAAATTGTTCAGAATGAACAATAGTGCAATTAGAAATTCTAAATATAATTTGAAAATAAAGCATGACGTCGCTCGGACCAAAGGTTATAGAATTAGCCTGAATACATCTGGACTTATGGATCGTGAACATTGTGGGTGTGATCACTCATAAGGGTCATAATGTGGAAAAAGTGTTTCTCAATTTGATAATAATTTGTTCTACTACTTATTAATCGCCAATATCTCTATACAGAACAAACTGATAGATTTGTAGAAGCTTTACAGAACTGATGTCATTAAAATATACCCTCTTAATACAGTTTTTAATGGTACAGAAGTTTTTGTTTTTATGAACCATATGATTATAGAAACTGTTTTGGTGAAATAATGTTTACTTTGGGAAAACATGGAATTAAAATGGAGAAGCTAAGAAAAAACTATAATTTGATTTATGAAAATATAGCAAACTTTGAAGAAAATGGAAATGATGGACTATATTTGTTTAAATTCAAGTTTACTCTTTCAATAATCTGACTTTGTGTAGATAAGTAAAGAGTTTTTGCAAAGTAAATTCAGCTTATTTGTAAGTACGCTAGCAGAGTTCTGTACAGGGAGTAATTGTCTCGGAACCTGAAAGTTGTGGGTTCGATTCCAGCTTCCTCCTGGGGGTCGGAGGTTAACCTCTAATTGCACATCGGTGTATGAATGTGTGACTGGTCGGCTGTGACTTACATTTTCCACCTATGTAGCGTCAATTTGAGCTGATAAAACATTTAAGGATATGCAGATCGACGTGTTTTCTCGTTTTTCTGTGTCGGCAGGTCCATCCGTCACTTACAGGAGGCTTCCAGCACAGACGGGAAAGGTGGGCTGGTTTTTCAAAAACGTCACCATGTTTGTCTTCTTGTAGTAAACATGGGTTCTGTTTCTTCCAGCTGCCATGAACCTGGAGAAGCTCAAACTGTTCAGGCATTACTACGTCATGGTGAGAGAGAGAGAGAGAGAGACGCCTCAGCAGAACTGACCAGAGATCAGTTTGTCCTACAAAAATGTCTCATTTCCTGGCAGCTGTAAAATCAGATGACCTGAACAAAAATCTAGTTTTGATGAAGGTGCTATTTTTCACTTTTAGTTAAAAAGCAAACAAAAGAAACCTTTTCATATTTGAACGGAACATTTTCATCAAATCTCAACATCTCCCGGTACAGTTGCCAGGGTTTTAAAGGAAGCTCCACATCATGAATCCTGTTTCGACAGTCTTGATTTCTGCCTTTAATTGAATCCGTTCATTGCAGATCGTGTGCTACATCTACTTCACCAGGATAATAGCCATTTTGCTGAAGATCACAATGCCCTTCCAGTGGCAGTGGTGTTATGAGGTAAGACACAGCAGACTCAAACATATTATTTAATTACATTTTCATCATTTCACTTCTGTTTGCGACCAATAGAGTGTTTTCTTCAGCCTGCTGCTCTGTCTGCACGCAGCCGTTTCATCATCTTCTATTAATATTCAGCTTTTCAGAGAAACTGAATTTGGGATTGTCTTCATAACAAACTAGGGCTGAAATAATTCATTGGATTAATTTTGATGAATCAGATATTCAAATAATTGTCAACAAATGTAGCAATTGATTAATTAACTGGATCAGATTTAAAAAAAAAATACAGTCAATATGATGAAAGAGCTTAATAAATTCAGATCAGTAATTAAGCTAAAATTGTGCAGTATAATGTAAATGTGTTTTGCATTTAGGATAAAAAAAGCATCTGTAAATATGTTGTAAAGTGGGGAAATTTTACTTTGAACTGGTTCAAGTTCACTAAATAATTCTGTCACTGCATTTATGCGACAAAATGCTTTTTTTTTAATTGAAAAGTCATTGTTCATTTCTTCTTGTAGCGCATTTCAAATATTCTGTAAAAAAAAAAAACATGCTTAAGTGGTTAAATGAAAAATCCGATTAATTGATTAGTCGTCAAAAATAATCGACTGCTAAATTAGTTGTTAGTTGCAGCCCTAAAAATAAACAGTTAAAAATGTGAACACGTCTTTGCTGGAGGTGATTTGAGTTTGCGGCGGTCTGCCTCTAAAACATGCGCCTTCCTCTGGTCCTCAGTTTCTGGTGGAAGTGTCCACTCTGATCTTCTTCGTGCTGACCGGCTACAAGTTCCGGCCGGCGTCAAACAACCCGTACCTGCAGCTGCCGCTGGACGAGGAGGACGTGGAGATGGATGAAGTGTGAGTGCGTCAGAGGTGGCGCTGCACCGATCCCGTATCAATATCTGTATCGGCTCAGATATTAGGAAAGAGTTCCATGTCGGGCATCAATGACAAAGATTATGTTTTAGTATTTATTTTAGAATTCCTCATTTACTTTTCTGAACCATTTGAAAGAAAGTCTGTCGCAGTTTATTTTTTATGTTTGGTGAAGCTACTGGTGTATTTAATGGTGCTGTTCTGGTGCAGAGTTCTCAAATATGTTAGTAGTTCAGGACATTTATGTCTGTTTGAAAATAAACCAAAGGTTTAAGAGGTCAATGGATTAAAATTCCAGTCTGATTAGTCGCACCTTATTGCTGTGATTAATCAGGACTAAATTGTCTGGCTTGACTTTGTGGCTTGAAATGTAAAGATGCACATTTTCCTTAAAATGTTAAGTTAAAATGTTTATTGTCTCAAACAAACAAGTTTAGTAGTTCAATAGAAGTTTGGCCAGCCTTGTTTTTCTGTATCAGCTGAATACAGTGGAAGTGGAAAAAGTGGAAGTGGAAAAAGTGGATCGGTGCACTCCCTCGTTTTATTCATTTGTTTTGCATTTAAAATGATCCCAGTCTGACATGAAGGATTCTTCTTCTCTGCGCAGAGTGACAGAGTCGGGCGCTCTGGAGGGAATCTCCAAAGTTAAGAAGACGTCTAACGGACGCGAGCGCCAGAAAGAGCCCGCTCTGTGAGCAGGAGGCTGCGCGGTTGGGAGGGACCAGCCCCGGGTCGGGGTGGGGGCTCATATGGACCAAGACCTCCACCCCCACCTCCACTTCCACTGACGGCTCTCTGTTCAAAACTCTTCAAGTGGTTGCAAAGCTCATGCCCACTGTCTGACTATGCAAAACATAAAAACAACAACAAAAAAAAGATGGCTAACATGACGAAGGTTGTCCATTTTCTTTGGGGGTGCTCCACCCAAAACCCGAAGAGCTCCAGGAGGGTTTTCTTTTTCTGGACGGGTGGGGAAATGGAACAGAGCTCTGAAATTCTTTTTTTTTTCTTTCTCTCTTTCTCTCCAAAGCTTATTATTATTATTATTATAGACAAAGACTCGGGTGTGTTTATGCCGGCTATTTAAAAACGGTACTCCTGCATCCTGCATCTTTTTTTTTTTTCTCTGTAACATGGGAACAAACGTAATGTGACAAATTTAAGTTCTCCCCCTTTGGATGCAATAGCCCATTCTCAGGTGAAAAGAAAAAAGAAAAGAAAAATCGATGTAGAGGAAACAGCGTTTGGTTTCCCACCAGTCACACTGCACCGTACATGTTTTGCTCATTGATTTTTAGGTTGGAATAATCAACAGCAGGATGCTTTTTTAAAATTTAATTTAACTTGTTTAGTTTCAGTACGTTGCTGCTTTTTGCATATTGAAGTTTTCCAGTATCATTGTGTGTGTGTCGGAGGGCGAGGCGTTTCCTCCCAGTGTGTCATTTTGGAGTGCTGCTGTAATTTAGTGCTTGAAGATAACCTGCTTATTCCACCATATTGACACGAGGACCTTTAGTTAAAGTGACCGAACGTTCAGATCAGGCTGTAAAGTGACCAGAGCTGTGGCCAGATATTTCTATAAATATATATATGTGTATTTCTTTGTGGTTATTTTTGGCACGGCTGAGTCCTCTTTACCCATTTGTGGATTTTAACCATTTTTTGCTCTTGATGTGAAGCTTTTGATTAATTCCAGTTGACTTCAGCAGCCGGACAGGGTCGAAGATCATTCAGTGACAGGTGATTTGTAAATATGACGGTTCATACAAGAAGAGACAGATTACACTTTATGAACTGCACAGTGTTTGAGTGAGATTTTTGAATCTTTTTTTTGTTTTGTTTCTTGAAATGGAGCCCAATCACATGAAAATGCGACTGAGATTTAATCTCAGTCTCTCCTTGATCTGCAGTGTTGCCACACAGGCAGCCCGTCTCCACCTGCCGGGAGTCCACAGGTAAACACGTTTACAGGAGTTGGAAAAAGTGTTTTTTTTTTTTTTTAATTGTTGCAGAAGGTTAAAGGATGTATGAATTGCCACAATAAAGTTGGAGTTTTTTGAAAGCTCTCTGGTCGCTGTTATGGGTGAATATGCACAGACTTTAGCTGTAAAGTCAACAATTTGAATTAGACGCTCTGGAGTTGAAAATGTTTGACACACTACAAATGTGCACAAACTGTCGGTGTTCCAATAGTGTTGGAAAAATCACAATTTCACAAACATCAGAAAATGTTTGTTCAAAATGGTCATTTTCGTAATTCCAATTTGTGAGGTTTTAAGGTAAATGGAAATGCAGTCGCCTCGATTACGATGGTGGTGATCTCCGTCACCCTCATTTACTCCTTTCTCCCCCCGTACAATCATCCAAAACGTTTCAGAATTTCTCAAAACTTAGAAATCTGTCAAACTGTCAAAGCGGGTTAGACGTCAAAATGTTAGTTTCTTCAAATTTTTGGCTTCTCAAGCTGTTGAAGTTTGAGAAGTTTAAATTTGCTCAATTTCTTTTTTCAAAAATTTTTTTTTTTCAGAAAAATTTTTGATTTTTTTTTTTTTTTAATTTTTTGTCAAACTTTTTTCTAAAAAATCTTAAGTTTCTTTTAATTTTTGTCAAACTTTTTTCTAAAAAATCTTAAGTTTCTCTTTAAAATTTTGGATACTGAGGAAAAGTCCAGATTTTTGACTTTTGGAAATGGTCTCAATTTTATGTTTGAAAAAAACAAAACTTGGAAATGTCTTTATTTGAAGAGGCAGAGAGTTTTGATTAAAAAAAAAACAGAAATTTTATAGAAAAACTTGACTTTTGAAGCAAGAATGACAACAAATGCAAATTACCAGAATTTTATTACAAGATGCTTGTTCAGCTGTAAAAACATGTATATATGAGAAAAAATATTGCACATGTTGGTCAGTAAAATATGGCACCAGTTGGTAACAAAGACAGTCAATTGTTTCTACAGACATGGAAATAATTCTGTATCTATATCATCAAATTGTTTATAAATGTACAGATGGTTTAGAAATTTCACATTTTACATCTTTATCCAGTTATGGATAATTCCTGAAAAAACAATCTAATTTTCTCAATATTCTTTATATAGCTACAGAATAAGTAATTTAAAAAGTAGATTTTGCTTGAATCCATGTATACATTGTCCTTTTATCCAAAATATTCCTCATCACAGCTCCAGTTTTAGTCCAAACCATTAATGGATTTAATTTTTGAGCCACTGATGGAGCCTACAGATAATCACAAGGTTTTGGCCTCTGAACTCTCATATCTGCAGCTTGAACTGAAGCTAATTTAACAAACAAAGTGCCCATTTCTATATTCACAAAAAGTTGTAAACAGTGGGTTTTAAACAGGCTGCTCATAGTGCAGCATAATTCAGTGAAGATGAACCAGCAGTGACTGTTTGCTTCTGCTTTGCTTTGCAGCAGAAGCAAACAGTCACTGCTCCAAGTTGGAAAGATTTAAAGATCTTAAAAGGTTCATTTCATTTTTAAGAAAAGTGACAGGCATCATGTGTGAGTACCAGTTATGATCAGCATCATTCAAAGAGAAAATGACAAACATCATTGCCTCCTGTTTAAAGCCGTCTAATTGTAATGTTTTGTTGCTACCACAAGGGGGCGGTAACAGGAACAGCATCATACTGAGAAATAAAAGTACTGTGAAGACAATTTGGTAATACTAAGTGAATGCAAACTGAAAAAGCCTTCAGTAGTGGGAATCATATGAAATATTGTTTATATTTTGGAATATGACAGGAAGTGTGTGCTGTTCATCAGCAGTTTCAGTTATGATAAAGTTATTGTTTCAGATTTTATTCATATTGTGTGGCTCCAACCTGATTGACTGGTCTAACTTTTAAAATGACTGCAATTATTTGACATTCAAACATTTATTTATTTTTGCTGCTTTATTTCACTCCTGCAGTGTTGTCTTTAAATCATCTGAAATTTGGGCGATTGCTTTTCTGGAAAGAAGACGATAACAGCAGCATATGAAGAATTGTGCGATTTAATGCCCGTCACTAGTGGAAACAGTAAAAAGGCCGGCATGAATGAAAATTATTTTCCAATCCCTTTCACTGCAGATTTAAGGCGATATTTGAGGAATCCACCGTTTGGATCAGAGGGACATGATTGGTTATTTAAATGTGACCCGGAGTAAAAAGGTTCTGATCTCCATGGGCCTCAGGGTGATTTCCCACACAGACGGATCCTCAAGCGTCTTCAGCAGGACTTTCTCTTCTGCCAAGAAAGAAGGTTGATTGTTAGAGCGTGTAGCTAAAAATATGTAAGAGGTGTAATAAAGCCTCACTTGAGAGTTTATTAAATCAATATATTCTAGTTGCTACCAGTTGTGAAATATTAACCTCAGAGTCGTAACAAATGCTTCAGTAACAGAACATGAAATGATTATATTGAATTTTTCCACACAAAAATCAATATGCTTAAGTGAGGGATGTATTCTACATTTAATCGTAATAATTTTGAAATTTATTCCCAGTTTTAATAAAATTTATTAGTATTTATTTACTATAATTTGCTGTTCTTCACCTTCCATAATGTAAACTTGAAATGTTGCGCACTACCCCTCCAGAGTGTTTGACACCTGTTAGAATGACCTGTACCTTTTTCAGGAGACCAATCGAAACGCTTCATCTCATCTTTCCACTGATTGGCTGAGAGGTTCAGCTCAGAAACACCCAGAACATCCAGAGTGGAAAACAGCTTCTGCACACACACAAAGAAGACAGAAAACCGTTTAAAAGGCATGTTCAAGCCCATTTTATTCACCGTTTTTAAACATAAAAGTAGTTAGAAAGAGAACTGGTGAAATATTTCTCTAAGGAGAGTCATGAGTTCTGAATGTCCGACCTGAAGGTTGACTGTGACGGGTTGGGAGCTGGCTTTGCTCTCCCAGCTCTGGAACTGATGCTCCAGCCTGAGCAGGACGGACTCCTCGTCCCACTGACTCAGTGTCAGGAGGTGAACAGCAGGGGGCAGCGATGCTTGAAGGCCTGAAAACTAAAAATAAAAAAATAAGACCATTTTAAATCCTCCTTTCTTAGTTGTTATTAATCTGTCAGAGGTGCAGTGTGTTAATCCGAACCTCCAGTCGTGCGTTCGCGTTCAGGTCTCCATCGGTAAACGACAGCAGCGGTTGTGATACCACTTCCTGCGCCAGGGGGCGGTGTGTGTCTGCAGCGGTGGCAGGCGGCTCCAGGGAGAGGAGGAGCCGACCGCGGACCACCAGGCCGTCGGGGAAGATCTCCGAACTCTCATCGAGGGGTTCACCGACGCCGCGGTAGTCGTCATACAGCAGCCGGCGGTGGAGCTGCAGAGGAACGTCAGTGGTCTCATTAAACATGTAGCTTTACCGTTAGCCAAACAAAGCAGGCATGATAAGGAACCCGATTCCAAATAATGGAAGTTAAGATTATAAAAAGATAACACACAACTCACGGTCACTGCTGCTAATATTTCTTTAGTAACTTTTATGCGCTTAACAATTAAAATGACAACGCAATATACTCTCATGCTACACTGTGCAAATGTTCACTTTGCACCATTGAAGATTTCCTCACATCAGCATGCTGATTGCTTAAGATGGCTTCCACAGTGAGGCATTCAGACTCATTTTCTGATTTAGCTAATAACCATTTGACTAAACCTTAAGCTCTCAACCGGTCTTATTAGTTGAAAAAAAATGTTTTTTTTTCAAATTGACAATTACCACAGAAAAAAAAGGTAATTTAATCCAATGTGTTGTAGTTAGCCCCCTGTACATTTTACATTTACTTCCTGTTCTTAACGTTTGGACCCATGAAAGGAAAGGAGTGGAACAGGATTCTCTTGAAGCCTCAGTATTGGCGCTTACTGCTCGTTTTAAACAGATATGAAGTGTAAATATGCTGTACCATGATCTCCAGGGATCCGTTGTATAAGCTCGCTGCTCCCTGTGAGCGATCTGTCACTACTGTGAGTTGGTCCGTGTCATCCTGAACACAAACGTACAGTAAAACGTTTGTGGAATTGCAGGAATAAAAAGAAAAAGATTAAGAAAGTGATTAGCAAAAGAAAAGAGTAATTAAGACCTTTATAAAGGCGCGAGAGTTGATGGGGTAATAGTTTCCAGCAATGGGTTCCGTTTGCTTGAGCTGCCATGTGGGACGGAAGTCTTTCCTGTTTGAAACAAATCCAAAACGCTAATCTAACGTTTTCTATTATTTATTTCTTAGACGTTATGATATCTAAAAGACATCTGCTTACTTTCTCTGGAGAACTTCTCTGCCGTTTGAGTCGGTGTAAAAGAGTTCTGCGGTTTTAATGCTGGTGTCCAGACGAGTGATCACTTCCTTCCCCTGCTCATCACTGACCAATAAACAGATTTAGACACAAAATCAAACATCACATTCAAAACAAGGTGTCTAAAACATTCACATACTACAGATGCAGATTATTTTTCCTAACTCGTAAATATCTGGCACTCACCTGACCGGCACCGGTCCGACCGTCCACTCCAACTCCACGGCTTTGCTGTCGGCGTAGAGTCGGACCACCTGAGACACCCAGGGAGTGAACCACTGCCGCACCTCCTGCACCACCGAGTTCTGTTCACACGACGTTACAGAATTGTTTGTTTTTTGGAATCCATTTTGTAATTTAACAAAGTGTCCCAGTCATATCGTTTATCATTTATTGTGATACATTTTGCGTCGCGATACGATTTTGATTTAATGTCGTCGTGATAAACTCCAGTTAACGATGTTGAAAAACCTCAAACTTTCCATATCGTTGGGATTTTTAGCTTTACCATTTTTTCTACACTCTTTGTTCAGCAACAATAAATATGTCTTCAGATAAATACATTTGAAAATTTGAACAAATGTGGTTACCATATTTAAGGCCAGTTTACATTTACTTTGTGAATTCAAGACATTTTAAGGCCTTAATTTTAGAGATATGGATGCACATACACCTTGAAATCAATCATTGTGTCAAAGTTAGAAGCCTGGGAGTTTAAATACATAAACATGAGGTTAAACATCAAGGCACTGCTACCTGAAAGATCTCCACTCTGGCCTTACTGCTGACCATGACGGGTGTGGAGGAGTTTGGTCTGAAGATGTAGGCTCCAGACGTCTGCCGGCTCTCGTAGTTGTTGCCGTCACTGGCATTGTACCTAAAACACCCAAACACACGTTTTTTCCCTCCATCTTTTATCATTTGGATACATGAGGCACAAACCTGAATTTAAACACATTTTGTTTTTGCTTTGGAAGCAACACCAACCAGTAGAAGTTTTGTGAAAGCTTTATGGTCCGTTTGGTTTCCAGGTTGCTGAGACCGGACAAAAGGCCAGTGTCAGGGTCAAAGGTGACTTGAAGGAACTGAAGGACATTGTAAAAGAAACAGTCACTAGTCAGTTTTGATGTTATCATGCGTGGTGGACTCAATTCATCTGTCTGAACACGTACTTTGTTTTGGATGCTGGTGGGCGCCTGGCGTTGCGGTGAGGACGATGGCGGCCCGTCCTGCAGCAGGGACACAGAATAGCTGCTGTAACCCAGAGGAGGCGCTCGGACCTGGAACACCAGCTCGTTCCTGGCGAAGCCGCGGCTCCTCCTCACTTCCTGTGTGGCTCTGGACACAGGAAGCACCTTCAAAAAGACAATAAAAACACACAAAGAAGAAGTCATAGGGCGGCACACTCGGAAGTTTCCTTTAGCTGCGGGTTTAGGAGCAACAGATTGACAAACCTGACAGTCCACGGGTTTTCCTTGAGCGTCAGTGACGGCGTACACCGTCCCGTTGACCGGGAGCCTGACGGGCCAGGTGACGGGCCGACCCAGAGGGTTGTACACACTGAGCGAGAACTGGACCAGAAAGGCGAGACACAAACACACTGAGCTTCTAATAACAGAATCAATGTTGAAATCTTATATTAGAAGATGAGAGTTCAGATTATATGGACCAGGGTTTTTAAGAACAACTATTAGGGATAAGACATGGTTATTACTGGATCCAGGTTTACAATGAATCATCTTATGAGTGTGTGAGTGTGTGTGTGTTCACCTTGCTGCTGGACTCAGTTAGAGGACACACACTGACATTGAGGTTATCACAGTAGACTCTTTCAGCAGAAGAGCCAGTGAGGGAAGCCAAACTGTTGCTGACCAAAACCTGGATGAGGACAGTTAGTGAAAAAAAACAAACAAATAAACAACAACAACAGAACACACAACGAATGCATGTTTTATACAGCATAAAATGATGAGAGAACATTTAAATGAGACTAAAGCAGGTGAGATATGATCATCGTCTCATTTACCTGGCAGTGTTGCCAGCCTTTGGCTAGCCTCTTGGCGTAGTCGTCAGCAACATGTTGTTTCTCTGTTCCTGACACTGCGTCATGGTGCTGAGCCACAGCCATCGCTTTCCCTGCAGACCAGGGAATAAACGTCATCAAAATTCATGTAGAAATGCAAAAGAAATAAATATGTATACAGCTAATACAGTATTTGATGTATTTTAGCATCTCCAGATGCACCGACACCAATGGAAGGTTGTGAATAGTTTTATGTCAAAGTTTGACAAAGCACTATCTTCTCTAATGCACACCAATTATCCTGTTTATTAATGATAGTAAAATGAAAAAAAAAAAAAAAAAAAAAAAAAAAAACTATCAAAAACTACATATAGACCATCAGGTGCAAAAAGTGATGGAAGAACTTGTCATAAGCCACTCACAATAATCAATGAAACAACTGATCGTATGATAAATTTAAAGAAGTTCAATCATTTGCATAATTTTCTCTTCAACAAATAGAATACAAGCAGCTTTTAAAAATTTGCTCAACTTTCCACCAGTTCTCATTGTTTTGACAGTACAGTGCAGTTCTAGAAAGCCTGTAGAGCCACTAATACTGACATATTCAGTAGAGGTTTGAATGCAAGAAACGTCCAACAATCAACTGGACAAAAAATAAATAAATAATAATAAAAAAAAACTCACTCAAAGTCTCACTGTCACCCTTTCCAAACAGCCCCTTCCTGGAAACTGGACCGCCCAAAACCTCCAGCTGATTACAAGACTGTCAAATTTAAAAAGGAAAATAAAGAAAAATACATCCAACTATAAATCTGAAAAAGTGATTAAAAACCAGAAAAGCAAGTGAACTGCAGCTACCTGCAGGTTGCTGTTGCTGATCCTCTCGTAGCGTTTCAGCGCCGGTCGGCTTGTGAAGTATCCCGTCCAGAAGTTATGAGCGTTGTCCGCGTAGGGGAAGAAATCGTCCATCTTCAGAGGCCTTGACAAAGAGAGATGCGGTTGACATAGTGGTTTATATGAACTGATGTCAGGCTTCATGTTTGCGCTGCAGACGTCGGCTGCACCAGGTCAGGTTAGCTTTGTGAAGCTCCTGCAGGTAGCAGGATGGAGTGGAATAGAGGACGTTGACGTTGCTGCCGTTGCCCTGCTGCTCGTTGACGTAGCGGATCAGCTTGTCCAGGTTCTTGTACCACAGGTTGGCGTTCTCGTATTGGAAGTCTGAGCCCATGGTCATAATGATGTGGTTGGTTTTGTACACCAACGCCTAATAAGGGAAAAGAAAACAGAAAAATGAATGATTTATGCAAATGACCAGAGCAGAAGTGGAGAAAATACAGCAAATCTGTCTGTAATATTAAAGAGCTATAAATATAAAACAATCAACAATATAAAGAAAATCAGCTTATTTTCCTTTTGGAAAGAGTTGATGTTTTCCCAACTTTTAAATGTAGAAAAATAAAAGTATAAAGACTTTAGTTATAAAATTTCAACATAAAAATATATTTTTCTGCAAGTTTTTCCAAAACTTCATGAGCACGTTGTTATGGTTCTGATGCCAAAAATAGTTTATTTAGAAACTGTGATTTCTCTGCTTTCATTATTATTTTTTTCTCCCTTTCTCCAGGTGTAGAGGCAGCCTTCTACTGACTCCTGTCCTTTTCTTTCTCTCCCTCTACTCCCATCTTTCTTCCTTTCTTTTCCCACACCTCTGAGTAAGAGAAAGAATATGCCAGAGGTTTATTTATTAATGTCTTCAAAACAAGAAGCCGTTACCTCAAACCTGAATTTATATGCACTGCATTTAGACAAAACTGATTAACAGATAAAGTAAATGAATTACATTTTTTATGCAACCATCTCAACAGACCTGACTCTTGGCGGCGCGAAGGAAGCGCTGGACAACATCGTCGACGTTGTAATCCTCGAGGTCTGGGTCGTCTCTGATTGGTGCGTCGGCGCACAGTTGGTCCCAGCAGAACCCTTCTGGAGGGTTGTACCCGTTGGGAAGGATTCCTGAACGCAAAAGAAAAGAAAAACAAACAAACACTCTGCTGCATCAGCGGTCTCAGGTTATGAAGCGTGTAGGAGGAGTTTTGGTTTTTTACCGGTGAAGAGGTCGGCCATGGGTGGTGTGAGGCTGTCTGAGGCTCTCCAGAGGAGCTCCTGCTCCTTCGTCTTCATCCTGCGAGTCCGGTCCTGGTAGTCCAGGCGACCGAAGAAGAAGCCGTCGTATCCCATCTGGAGGAAAAATGCATCAGTGTTTCGACTGGATTTCACAACAGAAGCTGTTTTCATCTGCACCGCGTTCGGATCTTAAAGTGTGACACCGTCCCCACCTGATCAGCGTTTCTCCAATAAATATACATAAACTAAAACCAAACCCTGGCTCACCAGTGAGGGTAAAAAGTGTAAAGAAAAAAAGCTAAAACACCCTGGAGTGTGCACCATAGAAGGTGGAGAGTAATCTCCAGCTTACTCCAGGATGGAGGTCTGACCAGAGTCAGGAACCTGAACATGGTCTTCAACTGGACTCAACAGAACCCGACTCGTCTGCCAGCTCAGCTTATTGTAGACAAACCTGGCCAGTTTATTTACCTCCCAGTAATTTGAAATAATGTTCAGAATGTGCTTTAATATAAAAATAGCCTTTAAATATGAGGATGAAACAAAAACAAACTCTAGTTTGTTATGCAACATAAAATCAATCAATTGAAACTGGAAGTCTTGCTTTATTTTTCTTCATTACAAGATTATTTTGTCACGCCCTCCATTTTTACTCTACAAATTGATACATTAATACATATCATCTAGGATCTTCTCAGCCCCTTTGGTCCTTAATAAAAGCTCTAAATATGACCCTGCATTAACAAGGTTTTGGACATGAAGTAACCAAATGTAAGCTTCGTACGTTTTCCACAAATACAACAAGAAAGTTCCATGTCGGTTCTGCAAAAGCGAAAAAAAAAAAAATTCCAGAAAATTTGTATCTTAGCTTTTACCAAGTTGACTTACGGATAAAGTTTAAATAAATGCCACATTGTTTCTGTAACATCTACGCCCCCAAAAGAGCCTCTTTGTTCATCTACGTTCCAGGAAAGTAACTTTCAAGTCAAAGCATGGCAGCAAGGACTGTGATTAATATTAAAAGCACTTATTCACCAAATATAATTAAAGCTTCATTCTGTAACAATCCTGCCAAGCTTCAGCTACCTGTGCAAAAAGAGAGGCGTGTTCGCGGGCGTGGCCAAAGGGGTCGATGTGCCAGGCGACCCGGGGGCGACCACAGATCCCAAAGGTCTCGTTCAGAAACCGCAGGCCGATGGTCATCTGGTCGATGACGGCGCTGTAGTGCGTGGTGGCCTCGTCGCTCATACACCAGCCGCCATTCACAAACTCCAGCCGACCTGGAGGAGCAAGAGTCGGGTCAGGAAGAGCTTCCACACTCCCGCCGTCGATGCGAACACACAGCACCGGGCGCTGTACCTTGGTTAACCAGCTGCTTGACCGTCTGCTGCATGCTGGAGCTCTGCTGCTTCCACCAGCGGTAGAAGAAGCCCGTCTCCACGTAGATGAACCGTCTGTCTGGGTTCTTCAGCAGCTGATCCACCACCGAGTCCAGGATGTACTGGACGCCGGCGTGCTGGATGTCGTTACGATCTTCACACAAATGAGAAAACAGCAAAAGTCAAGAGGTCGCAAACGTCAGCACTGAGAACAGACATTGATTTATGCTGATAAATGATGGTTTCGCAATTTTAGTTGAAGATTACTTGTTATTGATCACAGAATTGTTTTGCGGCTGTTCCGACAAACAGTCCTCCTCTAATTTGCACTACGATCCACACTCATTTTTAAATTGCCTACAAATATCACAGTACAAAACTGTTATTCAAGAGTTTTACCAAAATGTTTAGAGACACCTCATTCACTGATGATTCAATATCATTACTAATACAAAATCAAAGGATCCGAGCAATGCACTAAGGAACGACAACAAGATCTGAACCAGACACAAAAGTGACGGGACATAAAACTGTCAGAAATTTTTTTTTTTTTTTTTGTCTAGTAAGAATGTGTTGACAAAAATACACAGGACAGAATAGTCCAGAAACATCAACACAGATGCTTCATGTGTGGAAATACAAGTGAGATTCATATTTAAATATACAACCGACTTCAGGTTTTACTTGTAATTTACAAATTAGCCAAGTTGGTCATCATACACACACAAAAAAAGTCAATGTGTATTTTATCAGGTGCAAGATAATAAATGTTGCAAAAAAAAAAAATCTGTTGCGCTTCCTTGTCCAAGTTTAAAAATGTAAAACGAGGTTTGTTTTTTTTCAGCAGTTTTGAAATTTTTGAAAATTTCAAATTTAAAATTTTGAAAAAAGTTGAAAAATTAAGAGCACAAAACTATTTCCACATCTTTAGTTCCTATGGCCCAATAAAATGCGCATTGTTTGTCATGTCTTTAAACATTGCGGGTCAAATAAATGAATTTCTGAAGGTTCGGGCTGAAGGTTGGGTTTTGGTTCGGGACTGACCTCCATAGAAGTACTGGTCCACGGTCTTCAGCCAGCCCACGTCGTCGTGTGTGTGAGGGACCAGGTGGACGTTCAGCATGGAGGGCCTGGTGGGATGACACGCCTGGACACACCGACACACTCAATCAACCCAAATGACGTTCCGCGACCGGAAGTAGCAGGTTGCGCTGCTAAACGCCAATAAACTAATTCCCTTACACGCACCGACAGCTCAGGAAGTAAGGACGCGTGAAAGTGAAAGAAAAGCTCCAGACCAGGTTAACAAACAAACAAACAAACCTTCGGACTGTAAAAATGTTCAAAACCCGCAATGACCAACCTGGTATCCGCAGCTGTTCGCGTCTCTTTTCTCTTGGCCGACCGGAAAACTTAAAACCCCGCAGAAGAGCAACAGCAAAGCGGCCACACAGAAGCGACAGCTGGCCGCCATGTTGAAAACTAACACAAAATCATATGACTTATGTTTATATGAGCTTTGGTCACGTGACTGAATTCCACATGGGAAGTGCTGTGGGTAGTTTAACCCTGAGTGCAGACTGTCAGGCAGAACATGCGCTTCTACGTCAGAAAAAAAATGTCTTTGAGGTTTTTTTATTTTATTTTATTTATTTATTGAAAAACATTTTAAAGTAGGTTTGGAGGTGAAAAACAACATATGCTATCATTTTATTTTGTCTACTCTCGTTTACAAAAGTTGAACTGTTGGTGGTTTTGCCTCTCGGGTCTGCAACAAACACCGCTTGATGACGTTTTTGTGCCGATTTATGGAAAGCCATTCGTGCCACAGTCCAATCAGCGTACTCTTGGATGAAAAAACAAAACAAAAAATAAAAGTACCAACAAATCGCTACCGCAGCAAGTGGCAGAAATTACAAAATTAAAAAGCATAATATGCCTCATACAAATGTGCTTCATTTGTGAATTTCAAGTAATATTGTTATATTTCTTGAACTACTATGTGTGTCCTTAACTTTTATCAAGGACTATAAAAGTTAGAATTATTTTTTTTTTCTGCAGTGATCCTAATCTTCTTTTGCACAATTTCATTGAAAACAAGTCAACTACGACACTTTTGCATAACTTTACAGCAGCTGTTCAAACAAGCACTATAAAAATGTATAACTAACCACTATGTCACATGCTTTTTCTGCTCATTTCTCTTCCTGAGTGCTTCAGTAGGCATTTTGGCAGGCGCCTGATAAGGTTTAAACCAGACGGTTTCTCATTAAGCTCTAGTGGTTTGTTTGTCACCTGATGTTTTAACAGTCATCTTTCTTTAAATGTAGTCAAAACAAAGGAGATGATTTTGGACCTGATGAGGTTTTATTTGATGAGCAGAAATAGGCCAAAAGCTTAAAGGGATGCCTGACATTTCTCCATAAAGACGGAATAGGATGTACTCATTTAAGAAGATTTATATGAAGGCTCAGACTTTATTCTACGGTTATATGTGCTGCAGAACCAGTAGCTAGGACACAGAAATCGGGCTGAACTGATAAAAGAGCAATGTCTCTGTTCCCATCAGAGACAAGAGTCATTGTTCTTTATCCATGTAGCTGATAGTGGAAAGAAGAGTGTTGCGTAACACACTCAACTCAATAGACACACTGCACAATGAACAGCTGAACCAACAGCTTAGTGTTTTTATGTTTAGAGCTTTTCAGATTCGTAATAAGACAATTGGCCAAGAAATATTGAAATAATCAAAATTGTATTTTCTATGCAACGTAATAGCACACCCACATTTTCATTGTCTGGTTCCTTTTCTGATCAATATGTCTCATTTCTTTTCTTTCTTCATTCCTTCTTTCCAATGTACCATTGATACACTTAATTTAATTTCCAAATTGTAAGTATTTATTTGTAATACATATATAAAATTCTTGTACAGATATTTTGGGAAGTTAAATTTAACATGTCTGTTGTTAACTTCCAGCTTGGTGAAATGCACCTTTATTTATTTGTCTCCAACTACACAGTAAACCCAAAACAGCTGATAAGCAGCTGAATGGTTTAGCTTAACAAGGACATTTGAAACAGAAGAAAAACTTCCTGGCAACCAAGGCAACTTTATTATCAGTTGCATTCTGGGTAATTGTTCGGTTCTCTGAGTTCAAATCCCAAATAAAGCCACTTAACTTCATGAAAACAAACTTGTATTTTCTTTGAGGTAGCACGTCATTGATTAGCACAGATAGAGTTTTTGTCTTTATAAACAGCGTATTTTAATGATTAACATAAAAAAATACATATCTGACAGCGTTCCTCCTTTCCACACCAATCTGTTTACTTTAATTAAAATTCAACTGTACACTGCAGGAAGAAAAACAGGTTATTTACATTCTTTGGAAGAAATGCTGTCAGTCGTGTTTCTCTTCCTCTTTGGTGAACTGGGGTTGTTCCTGCAGGCTTTCCGTCACTTCCGCTTTCACATACTGTATCAGGAATGCCACATGTCACGCCACTGCTTTCTCTTCGATTCAGTCTAAAATGAGATTGTAGCCCTTTTCTTTGTCTTTCAACTGTTAAATTCTCTCCTCGAACTTTTCATTTGCATTCTCTGAGTCGCTGTCTAACATCTGCAACCGGCTGACATTAGCAATGTTTGGCTGCATTGTACATAAAACAATATTGATGTTTCCGATTTTAAAGATGTATTTAAATATAAAATAATATGTTCAAAATGTGTAGAAAACAGATCTATTTTAAAAATAAATTTAAGAAGATTCTCCTGAGAAGGCTTCTGATTTTAAAAGTCAAAATCAGAAACAGGCATTCAATTGAATTAAATCAATTTAGTACTGCCATATTTCCTGAGCAGCAGATGATCAGCTACATAATGACCTTTAGATCCTGCTGGCATTAGCATCAGCATTAGGTTCTGGGTGTGGGCAGATGAGCAGGGTGGAGTCCAGGTCCAAGCGGAAAGCCGGGTACAGCGGTTGGGAGAACTGGCACTGAAAGGTGTGGAGGAGCACCACCGTGTCCGAAACGCTGTAGAAAGACAAGGCCCCTTTCTGTCGCTCCAGCAGAACCCCGATCCGTGAGCAGGCCGGGGCGGCCACCGTGGTCTTGCGGTTGTCGTGCCACGCCGAGTAGCCTGTGTGCGTGCACCGCAGCCGCCACGAGTTCTCGTTGCGGCCGAGCAGGCAGGGCTTTCCGCCGCCTTTGCGTCCGATCGACAGCGACGTGACGCCGACGTCGACCCATCCTCCTCCCCGCCACTCCACCTCCCAGTAGCTGGCGGCGCCAAACTGGCCCTCCCTGCACAGGACCTGAGTGATGGAATCAAAGCGGTGTGGGTGAGGCGGATAGGGCTGGGTGTTCTCGCCACAATGGGCGCCCTGAGGTTCCTCCAGGAGAACCAGACTGGGGTGGGCTGTGATGGCGTCCAAAGAGAGACGACATGAAACTGGGGACAGCAGAGAGAAAAGTGAGTTAACAGTTAAATGAGCTAATGTGCACTAAGATAAAAATCAGCTCCAAGATTAGCAAATTAGAGGAATCTTAAATGTTCCTCTAATCTTAACAACAAAAAAGGCATTCAAGTCTAAATTAAAATTTTTACATTTGCAAACAACAGAAGCTGGTCAGGATTTATTGGCTGGAACTATTTAGCACAAATTTGGTTAATTGGTATTTTATGAGGCAGATCAAACACATTTGCACATTATTCTATTTGTTGTTGTTTTTCTGTGCTCATTGAAAACTAAAGTAGCTATTTTTGCCAAGAGAAATTTCAGTCTCTACATGTGCAAAGCTTGTATAGTGATACCTCCAAAAAGCTGTAAAATGATTCAACTAATGCACTGTATTGCGAAGACTAACTTTAAAAAAGCACGCCACACTTTTCAGATTTTTACTTAGAAAATAACAATGGTTTGTGTGGGCTCTTCACTGTGCTCTTGTTCCCCCAGCTCACTCCACTGTTCGTGCGCTGTAAATGACGGTTCCAGACCAAGACGTGAAAAGTCGTCCAGTATTTCAGCGGCCGTTTCGACGCTGATGGGACAAAAGGCTCGCTCTACCTTCTTCCTCCTCCACGTGAATTATTAAAGCCTGACAAGGTGCCGCTACGTTGACATGTTGTCAGCTGGAACAGGTAGCAGCACCGGTCTTAATGATGAACCAGAATGTCATAAATACATCATGATTGTCATTCATTATGGAAGGCAGGCCAGACGAGGGCTCTCTGATTTCCCACCAAGATTCTCATTATGTGGTTTATAAAAGAACAAACAGAGAGAAGGATGAGATGGAAAGATGGAGAGGAGGGAGGCAGGGAACGGTTCCGTTTCATTTCCTGACGAAGATTTCCTTTTGCACACACCCATTTTCCTCTCAAACGGCAGACAAAAACAATTGACTATTGAACTGAATCCCAATTGTCCTGTGTCAGTGTGAGCAAGAACCGAGTTTATTCACTTTATTCAAATAAAGTTCTTACATCTGAGTAAAGCCGCCCTCATCCTCTGATCAGGTGGCTGCAGGCACAATATGGACAGAGGAAACGGAACTGGAACGGCTGAAAAGTTGATAAAAAAAAAAAAAACAAACCAAAAAAAAAGAGAGGAATGTAATAAAAAATGTCTGTGAAGGAATTTTTATTTTGGAAAGAATTACACATCCATAATTGTCCACATACCCCTGCTGTTTTGTTGGGATCGCTGAGGTTTGGAGTTCCCCACTCGGTAACTCTGGCCGCCTTCCCAACACGACGACAATGAAAGCATTTATTTTAAAAGACCAAAAACGTCAACTAACTTTACACAACGTTTATGTTTGTTATAGCAACTCAAAATGGTGTTACATTCTTCTTAAATGGTCCACTAAGTGGACCAAAATGTCCACTTAACTTAATATATTTGGTCCACCTGATTATGTCATTTTTAAACATTTAACTGTTAATAATTTAATCAGTTTCTCAGTTTACTGAGAAAAGTATTTTTACCAAATACTTTTTTTACTTTAGTCATTTCTTAGACAGCTGTTTTTTTTTGTTTTTGATTTTTTTTACTTTTATTTGAATAAAACTACATTGAAGTGGTGCTACTCTTACTTTTGTAAAATCTTTGGCTTCCCTACCCACCTCTGATGTGTTGTAATTTCCATTGGTAAAAAATCTAAAATAAATTCTTTAAGAAGATTGGGCACCAAAAACGGATCCAGCTCAGATCCTTGAACATCCGGCCCTGCATGCTTGTTGCCTTTCAGCATTATTAATTAAGGGCTGCAGCGTTAAGTGTCATGTAAAAACCTCAGACACGATTCTCCCACAGAGGGCAGGACACGGTGGAGTGTGCGGGTGCATCCGAGGATCGCTTACTTAAGCTTACCGTTTACAAGCTCTCTAGCCGGGACGCAGTTCTCATTACCTGGAAGAAAAACAACATGTTGGACAGAGAGAATGAGCCAGCTGGGTCAGAGGTC